GAGCCTTCTTTTCAGTTGTCACTAGGCTTATTATTATTATATGTTTTTTTGGGGCCAAAATCTTTTCTGGTTCTATAAGATTTAAGTGGATAGATGTTTTATCAGTTTCTTTCTATCAGAAATTTGGTAACCAGAAATGCGATATTAGAGAGGGTAAACCATGCTGGAGAAGCAGGGCAAATGCTAAAGCTATCAGACAAGAATCTGTGAAATTTTGCATGTGCCCTGGCTCTCGAGCTTGGACACTCTCCCTTCCTAAACACAAGGCTGCAAACATCTAGCAGGTTCTTGAGGCTTTATTACATTCTGATATCGTTAGAGCAAGTAGAATCTCATATACTTCTCATGTTCCAGGTTCTTCGCCTTCTTTTCTCTCCCTTTCTCGCTCAAGGATAAACATCAAGCATTGAGCAGTTCCTTCGGCGCAAAGGTGATTCTCTCAGTTCTTCCTCTTGAAACACGAAATTTAAAATTTTAATTATACATTTGTTGCAGGCTTAAATGTTAAAAATGAATAATGTGGATTGAAGTGAACTTTCAATGAATTTATTGTAATACACAAAGGACTTGTATTCATAAGTTTGCTGACAGTACAACCACAACATAAATATGGTTGGCCAAACTGTCTATACTTCTGTTTGGCTCATGTCATCCAGAAAATCAGTATCACCTTAGATACATATAAGTTCTTACAAACATTAGGTGACCAAAAACGTTGTGAAATCATGCTTTCATGCTGAATCAACTGTGGTCAAGGCCGATGCTCTAGAGCTGAGGCTGCTGAGTCCAAATGGCTAAGCAAACAAGCATAAACCTTTTGTTTCAACCGTTCAACAGTTTCCATCAATCCATTATCATCTAAGCTCAAATTGTTTCTTATTTTATCAAGCCACTCATTTGCATATTTTAGTTGTGACAATGTGACAGCAATATGGTTGTCCTGCTCCATCACTCGCCCTGTGGCGCTTTTTCCTTTCTTCTCCTGGGTACCGATCCGAAATCCAACATCCAATGCTACCTCTAAAAATTTCAAAAACCAAGTTCTTGTTTCATGCAGCAAAATTTCCCTCAGTTCTTTTATCTCTTTTGCACTATCTCCTTTGGTCCATTCTAGTTTTTCAGCTTCACTCAACTGTATCGAAGGTTTTGGAGACTTTAATGTACTTTTTCCATGGGTTAGACCTTTCCTTTTGTTAGACTTTTCTGTGTCTAGCACAGATGGATGAATAGACAACTGAATTGGCTTATCTTTTAAATGTGTCGTGACACTTGGTTGGTCAATTAGATGTTGGAGGGTGAAGAACTTGGTGAGAGAGAGGTGAGGGTTCTCAGGTGAGGCAGAGGAGCATAGATCAGAAAACATGCTGGAAGAAAATATGGAAGTTAGAAGAATCATTGTTACATATATAGCATTCAATTCATCATGTTTTTTTACTAATAGGAACCAATTGCTATGGAGAATTTTGGATTGAAAAAAATGTACCTACCTAAGACACTTTACAAGATTTGCAGCCATAGATGCCTCCTTCTGAGCATCTGCTGCAATCAAAGAAGCTAAATTTCTTCTTCTCAGCATTCCCTTGTAAATTTGATAATCAAAGATGAGAAACAAGAATTATGCTGTTATTGAATTTTTATTCAATATGCTTTGACTCCAAACTAATGGAAGAAATGGGCTAAATAAAATGCGATGTACAATCCAGATTGTTGAAAATGTATGAATTAAACATAAAAATCTTTCAGCATAGGTGTCTACCTTTCCCGGCTTCAAGAGACTGGCAGGCAGAGAGTTCCACGAACCTGTTTCAGTCAAACTATTCTTCTCTTTCTTGTCCATGTTTTTCTGTTTACTTGAAGAGCGTTTTACGGTTGTGCTCTTTGGAGGCACCATAGTTTCCTCGGTGTTAGATGCAACAACCTCTGGCTTTGATACTGATACTTCTGGCCTACGACGGGAAGGAGTTACCAGGCGTGCCTGTAATGCTAGTACTCATAATTTTCACTAGGTGATATACACATTGCTGTAATTTGTAAAGACATGAACCATGTATATGCATTTAATTTTTTTCATAAATTTATTATCACCTGAAAATGTATGTTAAACAAGAATATTACCTGACCTTTTGTCTCCTGTTGCTTGTTTTTTGCCTTTTTACCTGCTCCACCATTCTCATTCTCAGTGTTTTTCACACTACTATTCGAATCTGATCCACTTGCTTTAGGATTTGATGGCAAAATACCCTGCATATATCTTGATGCAACACCTGATTTTTCCTCTTTGATAACGATTTTCTGTCTCTGGCTCTCCTCTTTCACTTCCACAAGCTCCTTTGTTTTTGAACAATTATTCCCTTCATTATCAACCGCCACTGGACCCTCCGATGGCACCAACATCTGCATCAAATCCTTTGGATTGCCTATAAAAGGATTCCGTCCTGGAACTGGCCTGATCCCAACAAGAATTGGAACTGGGGTTCCAGCTTCCACTCTTTCAACATAGAAAAACTGACCAAGTTGCAATTTGTTATTCAAGATCAACTCGTTGTCCTCCTGTGACAGGGAAACATAAGTTGAATGCGAGGAGTCGGATACTTTGATGAAGAAACCTTGGTTAGGCCATAACTCTGATCCTGTTAAAGCAGGCACAATGCTGATTACTTGCAGGAGCACAGATCGATATTCCCCTCGAACTTTTACATTGGAATTCATACTCTGAAGAACCTTTAATAGCACCCCTGGTGTAAGTGATGCCATTCTTTTGCTTCTTTTCCAGTGTATGAATTCTCCAGCCTGGAATTTTCTAACTACTCCAACTTGGATATTTTCCCTGATTCAGCCATTAAACTCTAAAATTGTTAGGTAATAGAACTTTATGTTAATGCAAGTAATCAAGAACCTGAGAGGAGCTGAGGAACAGGTTGAAAAAAAAAAAAAAGAAAACTTCTTTACGTATGGCTACAGTTTCAGCAACCAAATGAGAGTTCAGGTCTTTTTTGGTGAAGTGGCCATTGTTGCAAACTCGCAAGAATCTCTATAGCTTTGCATGCCAGGCACGTAATCATCAACTTCTCTTGACTTCTATGTTTTCGTGTGAGAAATTTCAACTTTGGGGCCTTTTTTCTCTTTTGAATGTGGCACACAATGACTCAAATGCCCCATCGAAAATAGTTTCTTTTGAGCACTACCATTGTTATATCCAACGGGTACTTTGGTAAAGTTAGCATGGGTCTGTTCATGGTGGCATTTCCTTTTAGAAGCAGAAGGAATGGAGTTTTAAATGGAAGGTGAGGGTCTTCTAAACGTCCTCTTCTTCTTCATTTGCATGCCATAATTTTATTCTATTAATGGACCGAAACTTTTGTTGTGGAACTGTGGATAATAAAAATTAGGTGCGCTTTTAAGACTTTTTATCACTTGATTAAGGCCACCCATGCTTGAATGCTAAATTTCAAATCACTCAGCTTAATCATATAATCATCTTTTCTTTACATTATGTTAACATTTGTTGGCAAAGATTTTCCTTGAAAAACACTCCTTCAATTTCATCCCAAAAAATCTATAGATTATGATTGAAGAAAATGTATTAATTCATCCAAAGAAAAATGTAATGTATTTTGATTGCCTTCAAGAAGGCTCTTTTTTTCTCTAGTTGTAACTATGTGCCAATGTAAACGCTCAGCTGCTGCCTTTTGTTGTGATTATTTTTTTCATTTATCTTTTTTATGGTTGGATTGGGGGTTTTCTTGAGTTTTTAGGTGGTTTTCTTGAGTTTGTAATTCTGGTTTTGTCATGAAATGAATAAAAAATTTGTTCATTTATCCCCATAAAACCAGATAGCTTAGTCTTTACACAAGTTCATGGGGATTAATTTCCTCTAACTTTAGATGTGTATATGTTAGGTAGGTGGAGTTTGGAGGGGACTATCTAACCAAATTTTAAATATAATCCATTTCATTATTATAACATTTGAACCATTAATGTCATTTTAGGTAATAAAAAGTGTATAAATGACACGTTTTTTCTTTTATGCATTTGCAATCCGCATACAAAATTATTAATTACTTGTAAATTAAGTTATTGAATACATTATAATCAAATCAATAATATGTAAGAACATAATTTTTCATGAATTTGTTAGATTCGACGAAAATAAATTTGATTGAACTGATTCAAGTAGAAAAATTTATTGGCTGAAGCCTAGAAAACCTTTACTACAAAAAATTCAGTAACGATTTTCCCTTTTAGAATCCAATTGTTGAGGTAAATAACAGAAACAGAAATGACCAACAGGCAAAAACTCTTAGATGGACTGTTATTGGGCTAAATCAAAAGTAGCATCTCAAGAAAAGGCATTGGCTTCTCTTTCAGCACGAACCAAGCTAGCATACACACCATCAAGATGGGAAGCCAAAAGAGTATCATGGCTACCATACTCCACAACCGCACCATCTTTCACGACAGCTATCATTTTGGCTTCCCTAATTGTAGAAAGCCTGTGGGCTACTATAATTGTGGTGGTCCGCTGGGAAACCCTCCTTAGTGCATCTTGGACATGTTTCTCTGATTCCAAGTCCAGTGCACTGCTTGCTTCATCTAGCAGCAGCACTCTTGATTTCTTCAGTATGGCCCTTGCTATTGCTATCCTTTGTTTTTGACCGCCTGATAGCTGGACCCCGCTCTCTCCAACCTATAGCGAGATAAATAAATTATTTGTTAGACAATTAAATATGGTGCAGTAAGCTATACATCTGTATAATATCTGAACTAAGGATTAGGCAATTCTAACATGTGTACAACCAAATTCTAACTTGTCTTCATTTTTAGTCTTAGACAAATTGAAGACCACAAATCTAGAGCTTAGTTTAGTTAGTTATAATCATCTTTAAAAGATGACATTCAGCAAATATGGAATTCAAATTCCAGTACCTAAACCCTTTCCCATATTCTCATGATACCACCTCCTTTTTATAAAAAAAATGAAGACACACTAATGATTAAGTTGGGCTAAATAGATCATACCTGAGTTTCATAGCCTCCAGGGAGACCACTTATGAACTTGTGAATGTAAGCTTCCTTTGCAGCCTCTTCAATCTCACCCCATGTGGCATTTGGGTTCCCAAATGCAATGTTTTCCCTTATACTTCCAGCAAACAGAGCAGGCTCTTGACCTACCAAGGCCATTTGTTTCCTTAACCATTTCAGATTGATCTCCCTCAACTCTATGCCTCCAATCATTACCTTCCCTTCTTTTGGATCATAAAATCTTTGTACCAACCATATCACAGTTGATTTCCCTGACCCACTTGCACCTACCACTGCTACCATGCTACCACCTTTGACCTTTAAACAAAAGTCCCTCAACACAATCACTTCAGGCCTAGATGGATAAGCAAATGTCACCATTTTCAATTCGATATCCAATGACTTGGAGTGTTCAATTTTTCTACCTTTCTCTTGAAAATTACCAATCAATGGCCTACGATTAATGATATCAAAAACAGCAGGAATTGCTTGGGCAGCCATGTTGGTATCAGGTGCAAGGCCAGCTAGTTGTCCAACTGAAAATGAGCTTAACACAAGAATGAGAAAGATTTTATATACATCACCAAAATCTGTCTTGCCTTGTTTTACAAGGTAGGCACCAAACCAAAGTGTCAAAGTATATGCACCATACATGGCACCTTGAGAAAGACCAAATGTCAGGCCAAGAAGTTGTGACTTTTTCACCGATTGTTTCCTAGGCTCCGATAAAGCTTTATCAAAGGATTTAACTATCTCTTCTTGAGCAGAAAATGTTGTCACTGTCCTTATATTTGAAACTGCACCAGAAGCGATGTTGCTAGCTTTGGCATAAGATTTGTTATCTAACTTTGGTCCAATATTTATAATCAAATTCAAGTAGCTTGCACCAAGAGTGAAAGGAGTAAGAGCAGCAGCCAAGAGGCTTAATCTCCATTCGAGGAAAAATGAGACGCCAAGGCCCACAGCGGCTGAACTCACACCCATCAACAAGACTGAGTAACGATCCCCAAGGACTGATCGAAAGCTGAGACAATCAACAGAGAGTCTTGAAACAAGGATTCCAGTGGAATTGTCCTCGAAATCAAACCAACCAGGTTCTTGTTTCAATATTGACCGAAATAAGAGGTCTCTTACCCTTACTGTGAGCTTCGTCCCAGCCCAACCACAGAAGCCTTGTTGTCCGGTCATAGAAATTATACAACCAAAGCCTAGGCCAACCAGAGCTAAGGAGAGTTTCCCAACTTCTCTCTTCATGGTTTTTGCGCTGTCATCAAAGTAAGCTTGAAGAGCTCTGCCTAAAAGCAAGGGGAATATGGAGAGAATAGCGCCTGCATGGATACCCAACAGGAAACCTAGCGAAAGCGTGAAGAGCTCTGGTCTTTGTAGAGTCCATACGTCTGAAATTGGAAAATTTCTAGGCTTTTGCCTTTGTTGTATTTCCTTCTCTACTTGGTTAACTTCTTGGATGGACTTTAAGTACTTTGACCTTGTTTCGTACGCATAAGGTGATCTTGATGCTTCATACGCTGAGTTCTCATATGTGGAAAACTCAATTCCCTTTTGAGTATTTGTCTCATTCAATGAAGGTTTTGAAACTGCTTCAGAAGCAAGCTTGACAAGCTTATAATAGGCCCCTTTTCTCTCCATTAGCTGATGATGGTTACCAGTCTCAACAACCGAGCCATGATCAAGAACAACAATAGTGTTAGCATTTCTTACCGTTGCTAACCTGTGAGCAATGACAATTGTTGTTCTGCCCTTAGAAATCTTGTCAATGGCTTGTTGGACAACTGCCTCTGATTCAGAATCCAGGGCACTAGTAGGCTCATCTAAGAGAAGGATTCTAGGATCTTTAATCAAGGCACGAGCTAGAGAAATTCGCTGCTTTTGCCCACCTGATAACTGAGTTCCCTTAGCTCCAACCTACAATCCAGTTTCCAAGGCCAGAACTCAGAACATAACTTGAGTGAGAAACATGTTAATAATTATTCATTTATATATCCGTGTTGAGTGGTGCATAAAGAATTTCCTTAATATGGATGTCCAATGTTTTGGTTGTTGACCTGAGTATCATATCCTAGTGGAAGGTCATAGATGAAGCTATGGGCATTAGCAGCGACACAAGCTGCAACAGCTTCTTTCTGGGTGGCATTTTCCTTGCCCATCATGACGTTTTCCAATATGGTGGTGGCAAAGAGAACTGGCTCTTGCCCAACCATACCAATCTGCCTTCTTAGCCACTTCACTTGCAGTGTCCTTAAGTCATGGCCATCCAAGGTGATGGTTCCTACCGGTTAAAAGACCCAGCCAGATTAGAAACTAAATACACAATGCTTTTACCAAGAACTCATTGTTAAGCTCAATTAAACTATTAGAATGAGATAATTAATGAGCTCACCCTTGTCAGGATCATAGAACCTCTCAATGAGGGCGAAGATGGTGGACTTGCCACCTCCACTGGCCCCAACCAATGCAAGAGTCTTTGCTGATGGAATAACTAAATTGAGAGAACTGAGAATTGTAGTGTCGGGACGAGATGGATAAGCAAAAGTGACACCCTTAAACTCTACCTTTCCTGTAACACGGGATAATGTCCTACCCTCAGGGTTATAGGGGTCTATCTCCGCAACCCTGTCTATAATAGCAAATACACGACCTGCTGCTACAGTGCCTTGGGCAAATTGAGCAAAATACGTGAGTGATAACGCCAAGCCCCTGAAAAAAGATCAGGACAACCTTTTGTTACTTCATTTATTTGGAGAGAATGAAATATTCAAAGGGAAACATATTGGAATCAGAATACAAGCAAATTTTCATCTTAATTGTTCAATTTGTTTCAAGTATGTATATGGAGTTTTTTTTTTTTTTTTAACACAATATGCACTAGCTGTTGCAGGTGTAATTGTGCTCGATGGAGAGAGAGGACGATACCTTCCCCCCACATTGACACCAAAGAAGCAGGCAATTGCTGCGCCGCCAGAAATCTCTTTTCTAGCAACCAAGATTGAACCATACCAAAAAGCTAATGCCCATGTTGAATATGTGACCAAATAAATAACCCCCATTCCCGCACCCTTAGCAAAGCCAATCTTTGCACCAAGAGGCACTGAGTTTGCCAATAATTCAGCATATCTTGCAGCCAAATTGTCCTCAGCAACAAAAGAAAATACTGTTCTAATTGAACTTATTGCTTGCTCTGCAATGGTACCAGCTCTGCTGTAAGAAACCTGCAGTCCAAAAATATGAACACTTTAAATGTTCATAAAAACAATGACAAAGAAGCTGACACAGAAAACATTTCCAGTGACTGTGATATTTCTTACCTCTTCCATTGCCGTGAGACCACCATAAACAGCTTTATAAGCAATACCGCAGAACATCATTAGTGGGGTAACTGCAAAAACTACCAGTGACACTTTCCATGACTGCGAAAACCCAACTGCATAGCCGCATATGAAGGTGAATACATGGTGAACGAAATGTGCCATCTGCAAATTACAATTCAAGTATTGAACACATCATCAGTTCTAGTTTCCATTGTAAGGCAAAGTCGAATTTTCTGGGTCTACAGACAAATGAAACACCCTCTGGAAAAGAAATAGATAGAGTCCTAAGCAATTGAGATGCAAATTAAATCAAGGGCTAACCTTCTCTCCCATAACTTCCTGGATATGAGCAACATCACTTGAAATACCATGCATAATGTCACCGGTACTTACTTCTGTGTCAAAAAAGCTGATGTCCTGTCTCAAAATTGCTCTCAAGTACTTTGTTCTAATTCGTTGAGCTGACCGTTCCCCAACTAGCCTCCAGCAGGTAATTTCTGCCATTTGTTGATGAAAAATCATTCTAATACTTATGAAGATACAAAGAAGAGAGAAGTTCTGCCTGTTTATGTTGTCATTACCTAAGTATGATCCAACCGCCACTATTAAAGCCAAGCCAGACATAAGTATACATATCTGAAGATATATAGCAGGAGGAAAAGAAAAACATAAGAGTTTATATATTAACTATATCTTCGATTGATAGCAACAAACAAGAATGTTCAATTTCTAACGATTGTTGATCATTAATACTATTTGGAAAAATTGAACGAGAAAAGCTGTGTATTAATAACGTAAGAATTCTTGTTTCAATTCTTACCTTGTCTACATCCTTCATCATCCGGGTTTTGTCACTTTTCAATGATTCTCTAGCAATCTTATTGACAAACTTACCAAAAAGGTAAGAATACCAAGGAAGTGAACCCCCATTTATCAGGGCTCCTAAACAACCCAAAATCACGAGTACCACATCCCATTTTGTTGAATACTTGAACAAACTGAACAAACCAACCGGCCTTGGTGGCTCTCCACCCTCTTCCTCTTCATTATCATCTTCATTGAAATCTGGTGCCAGAACAAAGTCATCATAAAGGTGATCACCACCGAATTGATGGCTTGCCGATTGCCAAGTGTCACGATCATGATGCCCTTGATGCAACTTATGGTCAAGACCTTCCAACTTGTGTCTCATTTGAAGATGCTCACCCAGGTCACTATGAACACTATGATGTGATAATCCATGACCATGCCCTTCATTATCATGCCCACCAAGATCATCATACCGATGATCACCACCAAAATGATGACTAGTTGATTGCCAAGCACCATGACCGTCAAGCTTATGCAGTATTACTGAATCAAGATCACTGTCCACATTGTGCCTAGTGTAATGACTCCTACCATGCTCATGGCTACTCTGATGTGATAGTCCACGACCATGATGATGTCCTCCAAGCTTAACGTCCTGATCAGCATCCATATAAGCCTGTGAAACTGAAAACCGACTCGCACCGGCGCCTGTATGAAGGTTAGGATCAGTCCCTAATAGGCGTATTTGTCTCTCAACATCTTCTGGAGTGTCATAATCTATAGTGCTAAGCTCATCATGTTCAGCCAACGGACTAGCACCATTTCTACTTCTCCCTTCTCTAATAGTAGCCAGCCTTGAAATCTCGTTATGAGACTTAATAAGATCTCCCAGATGGTGATGTGATGAACTGTCATTATCTCTAGCAATATAGCTTTGAAGCTCAAGCCTTCCTGAAGGCACAGCTCCATAACGTGAAAGCTCATAGAACGGATTTGCAAAGCTTCTAAACCTTCCGGAGGTGTGAGAAAGATAATATTCACTAGCGGAGCGTCGACGAAATACCCTCCTGTTTAATGATGAGGTGCTGGATGCCGCCCAAGGACTAAGGGTGGCACCCAAATTGCGGCTGTCATGCCAACCAGAAGGCTCAAACTGCCATGAAACTTCACTTTGCCATGACATGTCATCGTCCATGGCAAAAGGCGTGGCAGGAGTGCGCTGATGGAGCCTCCTTGGAGTGGGGCGGGACACTCGGGCAGAGTGGAGTGGCGTGGAAGAACTTGAGGCATAGGGTGAAGCCAGCGTGTTATGGCGTTGGTGGTGGTAGTTTAGGGAAGAGGAGTAGTCGATTTCAAAGGAGGAATCAGCCATGGAAGAGATTGAAGATAGGGGTCAGATGGAATATTGGAAAATGTGAAATTAAAGTGTTAAGAAAAGGTGATGAAACATGAAAGAACAACGAGGGATATAATACTACGGACAAACATGAAACGAAACAAGATTCTACTTTTGGAGGAGCAATGGTGTGTCCTAGGAGTCAACGAGCTTTGCTTATTCCGCTTGTCTTCTATCATCATCAAGTATTTGCTCTCCTTACAAACATATAGCTTACTTAAGATCAGGCAGAAAGACAAAAATTGCGGGCGACCCAGACTGATTAAGTTTCAAGGGTCATACAACAATGGATTCTCATATGATAGTGGCTTCTGATTTACCCCTGCCAGGCCAGGCCAGGCCGGCATGCTATACAAATTAAGGTCGTATTTATTTTTAAAAAATGAAAGGTTATGGTTTTTGGTTTTGTCAATCCTGCTTGAAACTTTGACATGGAAGGGTGCCATCTCAATTCCTACTCAAAATTAATCATTACCCTCAACACAAATCTGTCTTTTAAGTATTTTGAGGACATTTTTCGTGTCAGAAATCCTTTTCCGGACAAAGACTTTAGTGGGAGTTTGACTTTTTTCTTGTAGTTGTGGGGATACAGTCACAAGGCTTACATAATGAACAGGTCCCTATCTATCTGATACAATGTCCTATCTAATGAAATCAATGCTAAACAAGGAGGCTTCTCCATTTGTCTGAAGTTCATCAAATACAATAAACAACAATTGTTTTGTTGACCAGACTAACGTCAATTTGGATTTTTTTTTATTTTAACAAATTTCCACCTGGATACAAGAAGGTTCATGCAAAACATCCTTTCTCTCTCTCTCTCTCTCTCTCTCTCTCTCTCTCTCTAAGACTTGATTAATTATATCAAATTGTACAAATCTTTACCTTTCTGGTTGGCTCGACATATTTGATTCTATCCCGCTGTCCTACCTGATGTATGGTTACAAAATGGAGCAAAACCATGATACTGCGAGGAGTGAGGACGACAAAAGGAGGATACAAGATCTCAGTAAAGCAGTTACAAGAGCGATGATTACGATGAGAACTGACTAGGAACTAGGAAGAATATGGAACCTGTTATACAGGTTCTTTTCCACTGACTAAAGTTTCTACTAGTCCCAAAAACAGAGATAATAAAGGTTCTACTAGTCCGAGAATATGGAAAGATGTTATTTGCATCCAAAAAAAAACTCTCGATACACAGCAAAAACTTAATTAATAAGAAGATTATTTAAATATTTATTAATTAATTATCTTTTTAATTTTTACATCAATTCTCATTAAGTTAATAAAAATGAATTTTCGAAAACTTTTTTAATATACCAAAAATTCATTTTTAAAAACTTCTTAATTATATCAAAAATTTATTTTTAAAAATATTATAATTATTTAAAAATGTATTTTCAAAAAATATTATAATTATTCAAAAATATATTTTTAAAAATAATTTTTTACTTCAATTTTTTTATTATGATCTCTTGATTAATGTCTATCACGAAAATATCATATGTTTCTTGCTGCAATCTCCAAACATATACGGAATAATTTTTTCGACATAAAATGTTTAAATCCAATAGTAAAATCCTTTAATCTTTTGGTTAGGCATTGTCCAATTAATAACATTCAAAACATTTATTAATTCTAACAAACATTTATTTGAAAAGAATCGCTAATTGTAAAGAGCACTTGTGCAAGTGGGTATTGCATCATGTGCAATAAAACAATCATGCTCCATTGCATATGGTGCAGCAACCAATTCACACTTAGCGATTCTTATTATATGCATATTTATCAGAAAAATAAAATGTTACAAATGTTATAAACGAACAATGTTTGATAGCTGCAAGATTAGAGGTCCTCATTACTAATGACATAATAAGGTTAATTCTTGTGTACTAAAAAGTTATTTGATTTTTATTGATAGTCGAAGTTTATTGTGTGTCGAAAATTCATTTTAAAAATTTTTTGAAGGATTTCGAAATAAATATCAAAAAACTATTGAGAAATTCTAAAAATTCTCAAAGATTTCCGAAAGTGAATATCTAAAAGATTTTGAAAGATTTCGAAAATAAATTTTAGATAGGTTAAAGAAATTTCTAAACGTTCATTTCAGGAAACCTTCAATAATTTTTAAAAATAATTTTTCAAAATACTTAAATTATTATCCAAATCACACCTCTAAACTTAAAATTTTAAATTTTTTGAAATCAAACATAAAATCAAATAAAAAATTAATAAAAAAAAAATGATTTACCTATAATTTTAAATTATCTAACATTAAATGGGTGATTGGATCTTGATTTGGAGCTTAATCCCTAAAATATTTTAAGGTTTTTGGTGAAAAAGAAGAGAGGAGGTGTGGAGTGGTTGGATTTTTTAATAAATTAATATTTTAGTTTAAGGTATGAAAAAAAAATTGATGTTAATAGTATTGAAGTGTAAACAGTCGCCCTCCTCCAAAATTTTAATTTTTAATAAAATTATTTAAATATTTATTAATTATTTATTTTTTATTTTTCACAATTCATTTCGTTCATTTATTTTTGAAAATTTTTCTTGAAATCTATTCTGATAAACTTTTAAAAACTTTCAAAAACTCATTTTAAAAAATTTTGGATCACATCCAAATGTTTTAACATAAAATTTTATAAAATTAAACAAAAAAAATAATTTACCTTGATTTTTATATTTTTTTAGAGTTTAAAATTTTTAAATTTTCAGTTAGAAGGAGAGAAAATAAGCGTGAAAAGAAAAAGATCGGAGTGCAAATCACATCGCTCTAAAAGTAACTGCACCTTTAACAAGACAAAATGTCCCATCAATGTGGGATTGATGTAACCTGTAAGTCATATGAACCTTGGTGTAGATAATAATGATCACAAGGAGCATGTGGCCAAAAATATATAGTAGCAGAAGCAAAGAGGATAAGGGAATTTCATCACCCAGAAAGGAATAATACATACTGCTACTAGGATGAAAAGTAGTTTATTTTTACTCCGCATTGTCAATAACTCTGGTTTTAACAAAGCGTTCAATTTGATATACATCACATGGCAAGAGCAAATGAAAGGACAAAAAGAATGCCTCTGAACTACCAAAATCACACTGACTTTATGCCAATCGGCGATTTCTTCTTCAATGCAATATACAACATATCTAGGACACAACTATAGAAAATTACTCACTAGATCATGAGGGCCTCATGACTCCATGAAGATTTACAAGTCCCATTGTAGATGTGATAGTGTTCACTGTATAGTGCCTACCTCAAGCATCTGTATCTTATACACGTTCCTTTAAACTACTGTTTAAGATGATTCCCAGCACTTGTCCTGGAATTTCCTCAAGAAGAAATTTATCTAGGCTTGGAGTCGCTACCCTTGCTTCGAAATGATGAAAGTGAAAAGAATGATCGTGGTGCTGCAAAAATTATTCCGATTTAAGTATAACATTACAAATAAAGACCATGAAATCAACACAAGAACAAACTAAAAGTTCCTTCTGAATATGCATAATCTCCAATATGTTAGTAGAGGCTTAGTCCAATGGTACTGAAGTCCTTAAATATTGCTCAAAAGAAGTTTTCAAATAATTAGCAATGGCGTTAGCTTCATTGCATATGTGCTTTAGGTTACAGTTTTTCTAAGGCAAGAATAGGATAGCAACTAAAGGTTACATGAAAATTCAATGAAAAGACTGGGATTCCACAAAGGCAATTTTCATGTAGTATGCTATTTTGGTTCAAGATGCAGTTATTGCTTTCAAGGGAAGTCCTTTGACATCAAATAGAGCCAGACTTGGTCATGAAAGGGATAGGTTTCTAACAACAATCTACGAAAGGATAGCACTTGTTCAATATAATGCCTTCATAAATTAGTTCCAAGAAAGAGAAGCGTCAGATAACTAGATTAACATTAATAAGGTGTCACCTTTTATGGAGCTTCCTGACATATGATCTTCCCTTAATTTGAAGTTTGCTGGTGGTGCTGGAATAGAAGTTTGTAAGGATTGAACTGCAAGGGACCATTGATGACTCTATATTAAAATCAGGTTCACATATACAACAAAAGAAATGGAAGAAATTGCAACAAAGAAAAGAAACATGCATTATCAAGTTAAATTAGCAAGGCAAAAATAAATTTAAATATTAGCATGTATGTATCATAAACATTGAAAACTGTACACTTAAGTTTGTTTCCATGAAGTAGGCCCACTTTTAAACTATCCTTTCCCTCTCGTGTCCAGGTGACTTTCTCCTTAAAAACAATTACAACCTTCTTGACTGACATAAGTTAGCAATCAACCAATAGGCATTAAGGTTTCTTATTCTAACTACAGCAGGAGAAAATATTCAAGGGTCTATCCTTTAAGCAAATAGGTTTTTCTTTTCCTTAATGACTGGAAAATGGACCCCGTAAGGACTGAAATAAACACCTTGAAACTGGTTTTAATCCAACTCAGTTTTAAAAAGTAACTTCTATAATAAACTCTCATAAGCTTAAACCGTTCAACATGTGTGTTCATCAACAAGACACTTTTCCATAGTTGAAGAGAGCATAAAAGCATGTCCTATAACTCTACAAGAAGGGGAAGATATTCAGTGAAAGTAGAAAGTCAGGAACAATTTTTTATTAGAACAATAATATTGAACCATGAATGCAATCAATGAATATTCAAAAGAATTAACAGATAAGGAAAAAATATAGTCAACGAACATTCTAAGCAAGTAAGAACAAGGTAATTAACATATAAGGAAAAATAGGAGTTACCCTGATCATTGAAAAACTCGCCTTCATTGAAGCCATCATCAGAAGGGTGACCTTGTGAAAATCCCATTCTTGACTTCCTCAAGTCTTCTGATGATCGATTGGCAGGATCTCTGCCATCCTCTGTGTCATCATCTCCTTCAGAAGTTGTAGCAGAGATCCAGTCCACCAAACTGTCTGCCCCACGGCTTTTCCGTCCAAATTTCAACAACCTTTTGAACCCTTTTGCTACATCCCTACGTGACTGATTATGGGTTGCATTAGCAACAAGAAAAGGTTTCTGAGCACTTCCCCATTTCTTCCTCATTCGAGCAGCATCCACCTCTGTTAGAGCAAGTGAGTGAGAATTCCAAGATGCAGGGCTCCCAATGGGGGAATCCATGGACACATCAATATCTGAATTCTCATGAGGATAAGAATATGGATGATGCATGCGTGAGTTCCATGACACAGGACTTTCTCCTGGTGAATCCTGCAGGGATACTGCAGTATGGAATGTAGTGGGCACTGCAGCAGGCAGCTCAGCAACTGATGCGGGGTCAACCTGAGAAGGAGACCTCAAGGAATCACCATTCTCTGATCCAGAATTATCCAACTTGTCAGATTCCTGGCTCAGTTTTGATCTTCCATTTTTGAAGTTAGCAGAATCATCAACTGCCGTTGTTTCAAGCTCATCCATTTCATCTTCTTTAGCCATATCCATGGGATCATCTGCTTCAAATGCTAGCTCATCGGACTCTTTATCTTTTGGAGTCTCAGATGCCTCCAATGCTTTGAACTTTACAATATTTACTCCAGCACCAGGACCTTTACCATTTCGTTTCCTGAGGAAAGGCTCTGCTTCCACATTCTTCACAAATTTCTCATTGTAGCTCTGTTCCATCTGCTCTTTATCAAATTTCAAAGGTGTCAAAACAATGCCATCAGAGTTCAAGGCAGATAAATCTGAAAATTCTGCAGGACAAGCAGAGCTCTTCCTAAGGGACTGACACCATCGAGGCTGTTCATCCTTACCAAGAGCAATCTCTTCATTGGTGCTCTTGCTCCGAGCATAGTTTCTTACCTGGGAACGGCAGGCCACCTTGCCAGCGGCAGAAAAGGGCTTTGTATTTTCTTTTCTGAGGTCAGAGAAGTTGGGAACAGATTGTGCAAGAGGATTTTCAGATTGCACTCTTCGCCTTCCAGAACTAGGATTCGAAACTTTGACTGCTGAGCGGGGAACTGCAGCTGCTGTGGTGCGAGGAGTGGATAAAGACACATTTCTATTTGGCAAAAGCTTCTTAGTGTTGGAGCTCCTAGAAGAACCATCGACGAAAGATTCCTCATTATATGATCTATCCTGTCCATAGTACTTCTGCTTTGGAAAATCAGAAAGATCATCTTCTTCACTCTGAATTGAACTCATTGGATGCTGCCAAATGCATAACCTTATAAAAATTAGTAATAAATAATTCAATCACAAGTTTTTGAGATTCCCGGAACTTAAAAATGAAGGCCTAATTCTACCAGTAATGAATTGTAGCATTTATTTCCCAAAAACATAACTGCAATAGGAGATACCTGCTCCCTCCGTGATCGAAAATTGAATGACCTCACTTTCTCTGCTTGTTGACGAGCAATAGATAAGGAATCCTGTCTATCAGCAGAACCAGAAAATTTGGCCTTCATCTCAGCTCTACTTTGCTCAAGGATATCCTGCATAGCCTTCAATTTGGCTTCCTTCTCAGCCCTTTTAGAACCCCCTTCTTCCCTCAGCTTTGCATCTCTCTTTTGCATGTACCTCTCATAAAATTTTCCTCTAGAATCATCTGAAAAGCTGATGGCAGAGAAATTCCGCCTCAAACTATCAGCATAGTCCTGGTTATCTACCATCTTTGTTGGAGGGGTACAAAATTTAGCCATATTACTCAAACTCCCCATTGGTTCAGAAAATGAGTTTTTGTCAGGCATCTGTGCAGGAGATAAATCTACTACCGCTGGTTTCTTGTATAGTGAGCTTGCTTCCTGTTCGATGTGCACATCAGCAGGCTTGCTTCTTCTTGCAGAACTGAATTGATCACCAGGAACCCGAAGTTTGTGCTCAGCAAAAAGCTTTTCAAGTTCGTTTGCCTTCATTTTTAACTCATCATTCAGCTCCTGGTTTCCCCTTGACTGCCTTATCCTCTGAGTTTGATCTACTGGCATCATTGGGGCACTTAAACTCTCTTCACTCTCAGGAGCCTTTTTACCAATAAGAGACTTGTTACTTGCATAAACAGAACCACCTTCATCATCCCTCCTACCCTGTGACTTCTTGCTTTGTTCAGAACCTACTGGAATCTGTTTCTTAAACTTCATTTTAGGGACTCCAGAATCTTCGACTTTCCCTATTTGCTTCTCAGATGAAGATAAGTCTTTCTTTCCCACTTCCTCAACCCCCCCAGTAAAAGAGCTCACCTGTGGCTGAGTGAACTGCTCACCTTCACTGCCTTTATACTGAGCCTCCTTAGTTTTTAGTCCCATACGACCTTCAAACTGCCCTGATAACGTTCTGGAGTGTCCTTGAGCCCTAAGATGCAATCGTGTTACCGATTGGTCTTTGCCTTGAGCCTCCACTCTATTCTTTAATTCACCCTCAGGTGTGGCATCCCCCACTGCATCTGCAAAAACTCCAACCTGCAACTGAGAAGTGGGCTGATTTTTAACCCCCACAATCACAGCTCTATCAGGAAAAACTCGAGACTGCACCTCTGAACCTCCCCTCTCTCCTGTTAAGGAACCGTTAACCTTCTCCTGAGAAGCCCCTTGATCGCCCATCTCAACCTGTTCTGACTTACCTGTAAAAGACTGATATTGGCAGTTCTGTGATCCCAATTGATCCTTCCAATTCATTCGCCCCTTCAACCCAACATCCTCTTCTATCCCCAAAAGATTACCAACCTGTGCTTGCACTTCTCCCTGATTTGACGTATCATCAGCAGCTCCACCAGGACCACTCTTAGGTTCAACTTTAACTAAACTTACCTTGTCACTCAAACCCTTCTCATCTTTTTGTTCTTTATCCTCGGATAAACCTTGAAACACATTGCTTTTACCTTGAGACGCAGAAGATGAGGAGGAGGGTGTGCACAAGGGGCTATCTGTATTACCATCCTTCTTGTCATTACCCAAGTCAATGCTCATGTCACTTGCACCGCTCCATCTTCTTAACACAGCTTTTTCAATTGCCGGCGCAGATGATACATCAGATGAAAGTCTTCTCAGTTCTACAGATTTTCCAATAGTAATGGGTTTGGCTCCAGAGCTTGAGCTCTCCTTCTGTTTGTTCTCAAAGAGATTGATCCTGTCCTGCACACTAAGCCGCCTAGTAGGTTGACTAATTTGGCTAGGTGATGACTCAGTCACCCCCTCCTCTTTCTTCTCTTCTTCCTTGTTTTCATTTTGAGAACGTAGCTGTGTAGTACTTGAGGGCTTTGGTTGTTGAGATGTGGCTGGCTTTGATTGGTCTATATGGTGCTGGGTCTGCATAGTGCTTGGTTGTAGTTGTTCTTGGTGTTTATTTTGGGAAGTTTGGCAGGGCCTGCTGTTAACATTGGACCCAATGTGGTCTTCATTGGGGTCATCAATTGACATGTCAGATCCCCATGAGGCTCTGACCACTTGATCATCAACACCTGGTTTCCACCGGCTAACCAGTTCTGGCCTTCTCTGGCATAGTGATATGAATTTGGTGCAAGCCTCACTGCAAAAGTATTAAAAACTCGCATGAGAATAATTATTACTAGCATTTTCTTAATAATAATAATAAAAAAAATACTGATAGAAAAGTAAAGATGAGAAGTACAAACATGTTGGAATCTGAAACAGCCATACCAGTAAGTTATAATCTAAATTATCCACAAATGATCTGGATTTTTTTTTAATTTAAATTACCTCCAAAGTGGAGGGAATTAGGCCATATCTCACTAATTTATGATACCCACCTTGTCCTTAACAGTAAGGACAATTTGACAAACTTAATTTCAAAACATTATAGCCAAATATCAGGCAGCATGTGATGATATCAAGGCAAACTTGACCTGCCCTTTGTTACCATAAGGGTCCCAATATGAAAGTACCGTCCACAATTATGAGGGAATTCCTCAGATCTACTTGCTGCTTGCTGCCTATTAACAATTTGAACATTTTCCGTTCTTTACCTCATCATAAAATAATCGACTTTGAGGGGGAACTGAATGCTCTCAGAACCAAATATTCAGAAGAAAACAAAAAGAAAAAAAATAATTTTGGCGAGTTTTCTAACTGTCAACAGCTGAAATCATTGGGATCTGTTGGTAATAAACATTACTACCATAGGGACCTTCCATGCCCAACAAATGGAATGGAAGACAATCATTTTTTATTAGACCTACATGGAGCAGCAGGCTATTTAGATCAGTTGATGAAAATCAAATAGAACAAAAATATACCAAAGGGATGTCATTTTAGGACATCTAAATTCACTGAAGGTTGCCTGCTACTAAGCACATGGTAAGACTTCATTTTCAAAGTAGCATAGCAGTTAGATGATGTTTTAACTAAGTACGATTTCAGGCAACTTTTAGACCTCCAACCTACTAATAATGATTATAACTCAAAACAGCTTGACATGTCTGATTAGTAGCTGAGCTAGCCCCACAAGGACAGTAAAACCATGTTGCCATGAAACATGGTTTTAAAATATATATGCTTTAAAAGGAAAAAAAATCATTTATAAAGACCTATGTCAGTTATAGCTCTTCTATTAATCCTAACATTAGTTGTCAAATATTTATTGAAAACCTATGACCCAGAAAAAAACCCTATTGAACACCCGAAATGGTATGGTTACAACTTTTGACTCTCCAAAATAAAAAATTATAAAAAAAAAAAATCTTAGAGATTGAATCTACCATGTCAGACATGGTTGTTGCTAAACACACATATCAACTTAGATTGAGTAGTGAAATGGTTTAATAGAAGAAAACCTTGAACCAACATTTACTTCTGCCTTAAATTGCTTTTTTCCCTCCTTTTTGGTCCTCAGAGGAAGGGCTCGTGCCTTGTGCAATTTCTACACTTAATTGGAATATGGATGAACACCATCAAATCCTTTACACTATGTTTCGAAGGAAATGAAGAGAGGTAGTCGCAAAATTGTTTGATCTAATGGATAGGTTTGTCCATTGCCTAGCTTATATTTTATGCTAGCCATTAGATAGGACAATTTTCCATCTACTTTCCTTCTTACTTACCAAAAGCCTGAAGATAAAACAAAGAAAGCCGAGAGCAAACCAAAAGAAACATTGTCCCATCTCACATTGTTCTCATACCAGGCTCAACCAAAATCGAGAAACAACTTCCCATCTCACCTTTAATATGCAGTACAAAATCACTGCAAAAAGTGGCGTTTACCATAAGAGACATACAGCTTTAGAGAAACCAGTGTCTGACCCTAACCAAAACCCACTTACATAGGCAACCATACTAACATGAAGAATAGCCAACTCAAGAGGCAGACAAACAGACAGAGAGTCACATTATCTCATGGAAAAGGATTTATAGAGTTCTTACTTCAGGCGATGAGCACCAAACCGATCTGCAAATTGTTGGAGTTCAGACACAGTGTCAGGGTTAAAAGCAGCAGCAGATGCACGAGCAAAAGCTGTCACCAAGTCCTGCTGGACTGCAGTAAGACGTACATCAATAGCCCTTAAAAGCTCCTTCCTGTGTAAATTGGACATACAACAATCAAATTAGAAAGCATAGTTGGTGAAGCAAATGGAAGATCCAATTTTAGCAATAACAGCTGCTTTAGTATGAAACTTTACAGACACTCAGAGTAACTTTCAGTCTATTTCCACGATTATTGGATGCAATAACTCAGACAATATTCTTTAACTGTCCATTTTCTGCATGGCTAAAAGCAATATTTCCTAAGCAAAGCTTTACTCAACCGGGTCACATCTGAAGAGTGAAACTTAATCTTTTCAATAGTTTATCTGCAGTTCTACAAAGACAACTCCAAACTTCCTAATAACAGAAAAGGCACGCCAGCTTTGTATTCCTGAACATGTCATTATGCATCAATCTTCAGAGGGCCCATCTTTGATCATTAACTTCACTGACAATCCCTACCATGCCTAAAGCATGGAAAATGTCTAGAGGTATAAAGTTTCAACAGATATCAACTTAACAGTTTCAAAAACATGTTCGTGCAAGAGTACTTGATGTCACAGTTATCCACAAGTTTAAATTGATCACAATTTAACCAAACAAATTATACCATCACAGGTATGTAAAAGCTAAAAATGGAAACAGAGTTACTTTGTTGCATCAGCAGCTGCCGTCATTCCAGTACCATCCCCACCTATCACAAATTATCCAAAAACTCCGTCAGTTTTCAACAATGACTTGCAACAGGGATACAAACTCCTCAAACAAGACTATAGACTTGAGATTTAACCCAAATACCGCCCATCTCAACCAAGCTCTAAAAGAATGATGGTTAACAGTTGTATAAAAAACAGAAACGCTAATTCAATTACTTTTTATAGGCGCCTTAAATAGACAAATGTAAGAGCAAACACAAGATCAAGTGTCTGATTAATGGAAAGTATCAGAAACATCCATAATAATTTAAATCAAGGTGAATTGTAAAGTATCATCTCAAGTGCAGAAACATGAGACAAAACCAAAACAACTTGTAAAGCTAACAAAGCCAACACTATACCAACTGAGAACAAACTATATTAGAAGGCTCCTACATCACCCAAAAGAAAACCAATAACTCATTAAATGAATTCTGTAACTTCTGTAGAAGCAATGTCCATTATAAAATATGAAAATTAGAAGAAAAGAGAAGCCTATCCATCAATCACTAAAGACAAAATAGCATGACCCCTTAATTACATTTCTAAAGATTTCAAACAAAAACATAAAGGATGTCGACAGACCACTTGAAGATTAGGCAATTCAACAGCTAAAACTCCCTATATGCTCCTTAAACCAATTATGCTACTCCCTATACGTTCCTTAAACCAATTATGCTATTGATTTCACCTTGCCAAAAAATAATTGTAATTGCATACACAAAGTCACCTAAGACTGAGCAAATAGCCATAATAAGCTGACTCATAATTGCAGCATGCAAGCAACAACTCTCATAACCAAGGCATCTAACGTGTATGCGCTTTTAGTACCATACTGTTCTTATACAAAATAATAGTCCACTTACTTCACAATGAAGCCAGACTAGCTAGGCAAAGGCGCTTTATATCACAAGCTCTAAAAAAACCTATTATGTGCCATCAAATCAGCTAAAATTAACATAAGTTGAAGAAGCAATGCAACTGTTATGTAGCATAGTCATGGTCTTTAAATTCAGGAGACATCCCTCTCTAAATAAACCTTTCACCTATAACTTGATCTTAGCTAAAAGGAATTCTTTCAAAACCCAGTTGGTTTTTTAATTGTTCTCACGCTTCATACCTTATATTTCTAACCAAATAAATAACTAAACATACAAATATTAACACCCAATGATGGTTACAGTAGTCACAAACAGCAAAACAGAAGACTTGGCAGCTACAATCCCACTATATTAAAGGTAAGCAGAATTTTGACATGACCACTGACAACTAATGCAATGCTAGATGGTGGAAAAATCAAGAACCAACTAAAATCCAATCAGTCTTCTCTAAGCTTTCTAAATGAACTAAAATTAAACTAAAACTAGCCATTTCTACCTTGGAATAGGCACAGGGAGAAAGAAGCATCAGGATAGCTTTGGCTTTTTCTACAATACTGTTTCTTTTCTTTTTTTTTCCTTCTTTTTTGAGAAAATCCCTGCTTCTAGTTTATTATTCTTTTTTCCACATTTTTTTCTCAATTTGAAGGCAGTAACAAATAATTTACACAAATGCTTAAGAGTTAATAAAGCACATCATTATTTCTTTTCATTAAAAATCACATCAAACATAAGTACTGTTATGAGTATTCATCATTATGTACATATCAACATTGAGAAATAGGGACCTGTAACGCTAATAAAATATGTTTTCTTTTTTAATTTTTCCTTCTATAATATTTTTCAATAATATGAGACTCAAACACAAAAAATAATTTTTCCAACAAGGATATAATGTATTGATCAGGTAAAAGAAACTCCAAGAAAGTCTATGCAAAAGAACGACCACATTTCATGAATGTATCTCATGGTACAACAACATTTATAACATATTCATATCTAGGCTGTAGCTAATCTCAGTTTTAAATTATTAACATTTTAATGCATATTTCCATAAATATGCGCCTTAAAAAAGTAATATTCACATCTTCAACAAAACCATAAATGTATTCTACTTTTTTTACGCAACCATATACTTTTCTTCCTAATGAAATTCCTAAACCACTTAAATGCATTACTAATTACGACATAAATGAATGTGATAGATATTATTTAGATATATAAACACAGGCATTTTGCTGTATCCTCATAGTTAATGCATTTGGTGATAAGCTACACTTTAAACTAGTTCACGATATAGTAACTTTACATAATTCACTTCACAATATAACTTCAAAATATCTTCCGGGATCCAAGTAAGAAATATATTAATATTTTCTGATAAATAAAAGCAAAAACAAGCAGTAATATGTCAGCAATCACAAATGCTAAAACCAGTGATTGTCGAACTTTATTCCACAGGATAAACAATACTTCATTGCCTCCATCAAGGCTCGTAACAAAATAAAATTGAAGTTGCATACTTCTTATTTCCGGAATCTAGAGCAGAATTTGCAACATATAAGGGACTTACAAATACAAACAAACTTGATTCTATGTTGGATACAGAAAAGAAAAAACAGAATCATTAAAAGTCCCATTCATCATAGAAAATAAAAAAACACACCTAATGCACCAGAAGGCCGATCTGCCACCCCCTGAAACAGAAGGGTTCCCAGATTCAGTATAATTGTAAAGTAAAACTGCATCATATCAAAAAGAAAAGCTTCCCCTAAAGGCTACAGATGAAGGCCATTAATACCTGAGAATATATTCTCCGTGCTGCTTCCAACTGAGACATCTCTGCGTCAAATGTGTTCACCAATTCCAAAACCTCTGGTGTACTAACAAACCGCACAAACCTGGAAACAAGTGCCAATCATATCAAAATATGAAGCCGAATCCCCACATGAAACAGCAAGCAATGCCACAGTTTTTGCATGTGTCTAACCTCTCAAGCGTTCCTTTTGTGAACCAAGTCTCGGCATTTTTACACTTTTCAACTTCAAGCTTAATTGATTGAAGTGACAGTGTAACCTGTTCTTCTGCCACCTTTAAATGAGAAACAAATGGCTTTACTAACCCAGAAGCAAGCTTTTCTGTGTTTCCATTGCTGGAAACAAACAATTCACATCTGTCCGTAGGGAAAAATAGCAATGGTTATAAATAGAAAGAAAATTAGGAGCAATAGAAAAAGTCATAGAATGATATCCTCACCGAGAGCGCTTTGGTGACAACTGGAACACAGCATAATCAAGAAGTGTGTCGGATTTCATCTTCTCTCTATGATATTTTCAAAATTCTCTAGTCTAACACTTCACAACGCAAATATACTTCTTCAGACAACAAGAAGCCACTGTCTGGTGTCATAATCAGCATAACTTCAAATCATATGACCTCAAAGCAACAATGCAGATTCTGGAGTAAAAAACATCGAAAATCCATATAAATGAATAACAAACTAAAAAAAAAAAATACCCCAAATAAGATTATATTAGCTAATAACTTTCACTTACAACTAAAATTTTAACTTATTAACCCTAAATGTGCAAATCAACAATGAAACCAATACCTTAATAATTCACAATTTAAATTAAAAACGACATTCTACCAATAACAAAGTTGGAATAAAGATGATTAGAAATCCCAAAAACTGCAAGAAAAAAAATACTAATTTTAGACCCCTAACACTAACCAAAAATAAACAATGGATGGATCTCAATCTAAAAACTCAGATGAAAAACAAAAAATGCACATGGAAAGATAAACTATTGGCACGAACATAGATATCCATTCTTCATAGATAAATCAGATACAACCCAGATCTGGTTCCACCCAAAAGAAACAACTTCAAGTGCTAAAATAAACTAAACCATGTCCACATAACCCAAGATAAACAAAATGAAAATGCAGGCACAAAAAAAACAAAATTAAAACCACCCATTTAATCAAAACATAAAATGCAAACAAATTGCATGCTAAAAAAAACCTCGAGAAAGAACTGAACTATATTTGAAGTGAAAATGGGAGTGTTGGATCGTTTGAGAATCAAAGAGTTACCTCAAAGAAGAAAAAAAGGGTGAGATCTTGAAATAGGGAATCGGATCCTGAGAATCAACTCTCAAATGGGTATCTGCATTTGGGTTTTTTTCTTTCTTTTTTGTTGTAGTTTTACTTGAGCAAGTTAAAGAAGTTAACTTTATGGGGATTTTTTATTCTATTTTATTGTTTTAAGTTTGAAGAAAACCCCAAAATGACAAGATGGTTTTTGCTTTACTCATTTCTCAAATGGCAATCTCTTCTTCTCTTTTTCTAAGGGCTATTGACTTTGCTTTCTCTTTCTTCACTGCTCTCTCTGTCCAAACAGATACAGTAGAGCGAGACACAGACATGTCTTGAGAAAGAGATTATGAGTTTTTCGGACAAAGCTTTTTGTTGTTTCCGTGTATTTTGTGCTTCGTTACTGATGTCTATTTACAAAAAAGGGCTTATTATTTGTCATTTGAAATTACAATTTTCTCCTTTAAGTTTTAGCGCTTCAATATTTGAATTTCTTATTCTTTTCTTTAACAATATTTGAACTTTATTTTTTAATAATTAGATTATATTACATTTTTAAAATTTTCTTATTATATTACTTGAATAAATAAAAACCCATTATTTAAATTTAATTACTTATTACAGATTGTATATCAATTTTATTTTCCCAAATTAGTAATTTTAAATACCATATTTATTGTCATTGAAGATTTTACAAAAAAATATGAAATTACATATAAGCTCTATTAATGTTAAATACAATTTATTAAAATTATTTAATTTTTTGTATGCATAATACATTCAACAGCATTTCAGATAAATACAACACATACAATTTTTTTCTTTTATCACTAAAAACATGATAATAAGCACAAGTGTTCAAAATCTTAAGTACTATTACTTTTAATTGCATTGTTTTAGATTTATTTAATTTGGTAGCTAGATTTTTTTTATATTGCAAACAAAAGTAACTTATGTTCTTGGCTAAAAAAAAAAATTATTGGTAGAACTTGATAAATAGAGGTCATGAATTTTAACTTTCTTGTACTCATAATTTCTTTAATTTAGAAACAATCCACCTACCATCCATAATATTCAAAAACTTATTTATCAAGTATAGAGACAACTATATAAAATGATCCCTTAAAAAAAATTACAAAAATAATATTGTAATATGACGATAAAAATAAAGATTAAAGTATTAAAATTTTACTTTTAAATATATTAAATATCATTTTTTAAAAATAATTTTATAAATAAATTAATTAAATTATAAATTCATAACGATAATAATTTAAAATATAAATTTATATGTTGTCACGAATTTACATTCTCAACCCAAAAGATATATAAAGAAAGACTTATGATTTATAAATCTGATATCATTTTTTTTTTCATTCAATTACACAATGTCTTCGTTACATTATAATTTTTTATCAGTTAGTTGCGGATCTGATATCAACTGTATCGGATTCACACTTTCAACCTAAAACTCATAATTTACAAGCGTAACACCTTCTCTAAGTGAGGACCGATGAAGGATATAGTTGTCCATAAACCAGGGAAGGGTGATTGATTGAAAGAGGGGATGGGGTATTTGGGTCATTTCAAAAATGATTAACGTATGGTCAACTGTCTAAATTTTTAACGGTTCTTTTAAAATAGAAGTTTAGGAAATGAGACTGAAAGGGAAAGGCGGAAAATGGACGTATCGTGCGGTTCAAGCACTGCCCCGTTTTATCAACAATAAAAAATAATTTTCCCTTTTATTTTCTTTGAGTTTACCATATTGCCCTCAACTTTTTTGGCGTGCTTTTGATCCACTCACCCTCTGACACTTGTCCCCGCCCATTTTGTTGAATGCCAATTTCATTACTTTGCCAACACTTTATAAAAGAAAAAATTATCAAATAAATTGTAGTTTAAATTTTTAACGTTTATAGCAAAGTTAATAAGATAATACATATTTTTTAAATTTATTTTAAAATAAAATATGTGTTATTATATTAATCTCACTTATAAAATTAAAAAGCTCTTTTATTAATATATCAAATAATTTCTTATAAAATAATATTAGTATTTCCTAATATATTGATTTGGTGAATGTTATGTTTGTTATGCTTTTATTTGGCTTAATTTTTAAATATATTCTCAAATTTTAGTAAAAAAATGGAATTCTCAAATATTTAAGTTCTTCATCTTTTATTATGAGTAGATAAAATAATTTTTTATTTTTCATAATTATAATCACAAACTTTTAAAATTAATGAAAAGGTCCAATTTAAACAAATTTTACATTCTTTTATAAATTAAGTTGTTTAATAAAAAATTTAATTGAAATAACAAAAGACTAATTATGACTTGTCACATATTTGTCAACAATATCATAAAACAAATGTTAGTTTTATGTTATTTGAATTGTATTATTTTTTGTTCATTTTAAAATATTTTTATTATAATTACTAAAAATTTTATAATTTTATTTACACGCAATAAAAAATCAAAAGCTTAATTTCATTTTTTTTTTAATTTTGATGGTATATTTAAATAAAAAGCCATTTTATTATACTTTAGGCATTATTATAAGATTTTGTTATCAAATGCAAACTAGTTTAAACATCTAAATCTTTCATTTTCACTACTTGATTAAACATTTCAAATTATAGATTAAGTGATTAATTAATTATCTAATATATAAGGTGATGTAGAATTTTCAAAGAACCCTATAGTTTTAAGTTTAAATATGAACAATGAAAGTGTAATAGGTGATTGAAAAGAAAGAAAAATAAGCAGCACAAATAAAGGGAATGAAGAGTATAATCAAGTAAGCTTTGTAATTTTTACTTTTAAATTTTTTATTTTTTTTAATTTTAAGCCTTAACTGTGTTATAAATCATTATATAGCATCTTTTTAAAGGCCTTAACTCATACATCATGATAAAAGCATGAGAAACCCAAGGCAAATGCATCCAAAAAATTAAACAACTCCACTCTTTGGGATTATTATTGAATGATTGAAAAAATAAATAAAAAATAAAAAAATAAATTAAAAGAATCTCAAAGTAAAGGAATATGAATTGAAAAATTAAATTCATAGCTCACATGCTTTTATTTTTTGTCACTATAAAGCAACATCAAGAATCCCAAGGCCACATTCTAACTTCTGGTAGGACCATGAGGGTCTGTGTTTTCTCACTTTTTTTCTTGTATTTTTTTTTTTTTTTTTTTTTCTCATATTTGTTGTCAAAAAATTTTTAAAAAATTTACACCCCAAAGTGTAACCTTTGGAGGAATTTGTTTTTGTCAGTAACTTGCTTTACTTCCACTAATATAAATTTTTTTACCTAAAAAAAAAAACCCTACATCACAAAACTCTCAAATATTGAATCTTGATCATCATTAAACCTAATATATATATATATGTATAATTAGAAGAATAATTTTTTAGTATTACATTTTAGCTTTGGAGGATTGTCGCTTTAGATTATGTTCAATGTATAAAATTATTAGTAAGATTGGATAATAATTATTCTATATCATATTTAAATAGAAAGATAAATACCGTAAAGAATATTAATATCTTTTTTATATAGAATTATTCAATCCTCCTCAAGTAAAGAGAATTATTTTTAATTTATGAAATTAAACTTATATATCAAATTATATCATTAAAATTTATATCAATAATTTAAATTATATAAACTTTTAAAAAGTATAATTTTAACAAATAAATAAACTATCATATTCTAATTCTTATATATATCAAACATAAAATAGAATGACATTGTTTAATCTAATTCTATTCATAATATCATATTATCTTATTCTATTATAATTTTATGTATCAAACATAATCTTAATTTATAAAATACAATAATTTGCATGGCTATGCATAAAAATAATTTGGTCTAAAGCAACTTGGTTACTTAACCATTCTTAGAATGATGCTGATTTGATTCTATAATTCTTTGTGAATTAAATATTATAAAAACAAAAACTATACCAGAACTCATAGTTTCTATTTTCCTTGTAATATTTTAATTTGTTATTGTTAAAAATTCACTAAATCAAGTTGACTTTACATATCAAATATAATTAAAATTGGCCAAGCAAATAATTACTAGAATCAGGGATTTTTTTAAGCACTCAAGTTGCCAAGCTATAATTTGGAGTATATCATTAAACTGATATATTAATTTTTTTTTTTTGGTATTTTAAATCGTAAAAAATTAATTTTTCATCATTAAAATTAAGAATTCAATATTTTATTAATAAATTATACGATTATTGACAATATAATTAAAATTTATGATATTTGTATGTGTAAATTTATAGCATATGTTATATAAACAAAAAAGAGTTCATATATGATGACTTAAATGAATTTAATTATTTAATCAATATTTTTTTTATAATTGTAACGTCTTTTTCAATTTACTTATTAGCCATATTTTTGTGATTATGAAATGGGTAAAAGATAGATTCCATGGCATGTACCAATAGTAATTTTTGTCACTTTGTATGTCCTTTTCTTATTAGTTTGTTCGTTAAGTGAGATATAATTAATTCTGCATTACACCATACTCTACTCCATATGATTAAGGTTTAAATGTACTTACCATAATTTTTATCTTTATAATAACACGATCAAACAAAAAAGGATTGCATGAAATAGTTATTCCATGTCAGCATATATTTTTTTCATTCAAATAATACTAGTTATTAAAAAAATTAATTATTTATTATTGAATAATTTATTTATCTATTAAAATTAATATTCATCATTTAATTATCACGTGAAATGCATAATAAATGATTGACTTTTTTAATAATATGATTACGTGTTATGATTTAAATGAAAAAAATATATACTAATATAATATAATTGTTTTATACAATTTTTTCTTACGATAAAAGTATTCTCATAAGATGATTTTTTTGCATTATATTACAATATATGTATTTGGTGCTGTGAAAATTTTAAATAAAAAGAGATTATTTTATTTTGGAATTAAGACATATTGTATATTGACAAGGAGAATTTATTTAAATTTATAAATCTGTTCATTAAAAGAAACTATGTAGTTGGAATCGAATTAATTTTTAAAATAAAAAATATTTTTTTTGTCAAAAAAATTCGAAAGTAGAAAGTTATTTAATTTTTTAGATTAAAATAAAATATATCATATTTAATAATATAAAATAAATGATTATAAATTATACATTCGGGATGATTAATTTTTATAAATAAAATATTTGATTCTTACTTACTCAACCTTTAATTTACCATTTAAAAGGCATGCGATTATATTCTTTTAGTTTTCTATCAAACATATGATTAAGGACGTATGATTAGTACCAATTGACTGAGATTATTATTGACAATGAAACATTAAATACCACAACTTTTGGATGTATATGATTCTAAGATTAAGGGTTTAATTTAACCAAAGAATCGTTACATTAATCTTTAACAAAACAACATGCCATATGATAAGCAAAACAAGCGGCTATGATTCAATAACGAGTTGAAGGAAGGCTCGGTGAGGTCGCCATCAGTAGCCATCAATTGCAGGTAATGGGTAGGCCATCTAAAATCATTTGAAAATTTGAGGGTCCTGATTGAATCATGAGGCATCACTTTGTAAGATCCCTCCGACAACTACTTAGGTTTGGGATTTTGTAATGGCCTCCGACACTTCGATAGTTGCTGTCATATTGATTTTTTTAATATTTAATAAAATATATCAATATAAATAGATATATCAATATTACTTATATTAAATGAAAATTTTAATTTTTCATCCGAATATAAATGAAGATAGGGATTATTTAAACTTTTTTATGGGGTACAAAGATGAAAAAAAAATGTAATACCCATCTCATAGCAGTACCATACCTTACATATATATATATATTTAATAAATAAAATTTTAATTAAATAATACAAGTTACTATTTTTGAATTATAACTAATATATTTTTATTTAATATTATTTATAAAATATTACATAAATATAAGATAAAAATAAAAAATTTAAAAATTATGTTAGTTTTTATTTTTTAAAAAAATTATTAATATAAAAATTAGTTCCTAACCATTAATTGTGAGGGATTGAAATGAGAATAAATTTGAAAAACTCGTTGGCTAGGATACAGGAACAAACATAAAATAAAAATATGAATATTAAAATAAAAAAATTTTCTATTCATTTTATACTCTTCCCATTGACATTCTTAAATATAAACAAAAAATATGGATTAATAATTTACTAATTTTTTTTATTCATTTTCAAGCACTTGATTGTTTTTTTTTTTTTTTATTTAACAACAAAAGGTGGTTGGGTTTTTTCCAATATATTCTCTTTTGAATCAGTTCAAGTAGATTTATTTATACTAAATTTAATAAATTCATAAAAATTATCTTCTTACAACATTCTAACAAATTTGAATCACAAAAAAAAAAAAAAAAAAAACAATTTCTTTATCACTTGGGTCAACTCTACCTAAACGATTTAACCATAATAGTTGCATGTCAATGCCTGTGCGCGCGTTTTTATATATATATATATATATATATATATATATGTGCGCGCGCGCGCTGATTTTTGACATATTTATACATACGGTTAAAACTTTGAAATTATAATTGAGTTAAAAAACATTGTAAAATAAAATTCTCATTTCAAGATGATATTATTGTAGACTAAATTGAACTGAAAACAATGTAGGTACTGTTTACATTTTATTCTGCTACAAATGAATAAATAATTAAAAATAAAATGAAGTTAAATATGAAGATAGCATAAGAAAATTAATAATATTTCGTTAAAAAACAATGTTTTTGCCCAACCAAATAAATGAAATCCAAAATTGATGAATATGCTTTGTTTTTCTACTACACTGTCTCTCACTTTTATGGACTAATATTTTTTACAAACTTAGATTCATTTACTTTGTAAAATTTTCATTATTTAATAGTTTCTTCTTTATTTTGATAAGCAAAGTGAAGAAATGAATTTCAAATTGAAAAAAGTTTCTTGTTTATATCCATCAGCATTACCAAAAGATGGTCACTGCTTTAGATGAACAACAGAGTTGTTTTTCTCCACCAAATGGACTGTTTCTAGCCGTTGAAGAAAACAATTGTCAAGCATGGTAGAGTTCAAATTCCCGGGACAATATTGGAAGCCAGCTATACTTGCTTATTTTCATCATCTCATCAATTGAAAAGCTTAACCAATCTTGGGTGAAATCTAGAACTAATAATCCATGTTCTCTTTTCCTATGACCAGCTTCATCTTCATCTTCATCTCTTTCTAAGACTAAGCTTATGCTTAATTTATCCTTTTTTTTGTGCACTCATTGCTTTCATTCCAGGCCTCACCAAACTCATGAAACAACTTCCTGTCTCACCTCTAGTGACATGGCAGTACAAAATCACTGCAAAAGGTGGCATTTACCATAGGAGACGTACAGCTGCAGGAATACTAGTGCCTACCCACAACCAAAGCCCACTTAATCGTAGGCACCATGCTAACGCGAAGAATAGCCGACTCAAGAGGAGGCAGACAGACACAGACAGTGATACAGTATCTCAATGAAAAGGATTTCTAGAGTTCTTACTTCAAGGAATGAGCACGGAGATCATCTGCGAATTGTTGGAGTTCAGTTACGGTGTCAGAGTTAAAACCAGCAGCAAATGCACTAGTAAAGGGACGTAGCCAAGTGCTGCTGAACTGCAATAAGAAAATACATCAATAGCCATTAAGAGCTCCTTCCTGTGTGAATTGATCGTCTTAACATCTATTTTAGCATGAACGTTTACTCGATGAAGCAAATGGAAGATACAATTTTAGGAATAACATCTGCTTTAGCATGAAACGTTTCAGACACTCAAGAGCAACTCTGTCCATTTGCACGATTAACAAATGCGATGCAACTTTTATGTAAGCAAAGTCATGGTCTTTAAATTCAAGAGACATCCCTTCCTAAAGAAACCTTTTACCTACAAAGTAATCTTAGCTACTCGGAATTCTTTGACATCGTAGTTGCTTTTTTCCATTATTCTGAAGCTTCATACCTGACATTTCTCACCAAATAAATAACTAAGCATACAAACATTAAGACCCATAGATGGTTACAGTGATCCCAAACAGCAAAACAGAATACTAGCAGCTAAATCCTACTAGATTATAGACAAAGCAGAATCTTGACATGAACGCCAACAACTAATACACACCTAATAAAATTCTATTCACATTTTCAACAAAACCATAATGTGTGCTACTAATCTACTTTTCAATAAGCAACCATATAATTTTCTTCTTAATGAGATTCCTAAGCCACATAAATGCATTACTATTTATGACAAATCATACATAATTATATATAAACATAGGCATTTTGCTGCATCAACATGGTTAATGCATTTGGGGATATGCTACACTTGAACTAGTTCATGATATAATCATTTTCCATAATAAGAAGAAATCTTCACTTCACAATGCCAGGATTCAAGTAAGAAATACATTAATATTTCCCGATAAATAAAAGCAATAAAAAGCAGCAACATGTCATCTAACACAAATACTAAAACTAGTGATTGTCAAACGTAATTCCACATGATAAAAGATGCTTTATTGCCACCATCAAGGCACATAGTAAAACAAAAATATTGAAGTTGTGTGTTAATGGAATCTAAAGCAGAATTTGTAACAAATAGGGGAGTCACAAATACAAACAAACTTGATTCTACGTTGGTGACAGTAAAGAACAACAAAATCATTAAAAAAAAAATCATTCATGATAGAGAAAACACACCTAATGTGCCAGAAGGCTGATATCCCACCCCCTGAAACCTAAGAGTTCCCAGATTCAGTAAAATAAGTAAAACTGAATCAAATTAACAAAGCAAAGTTTCACTTATAGGCTATAAATCAAGGCTATTAATACCTGAGAATATGTTCTTTGAGCTGCTTCCAACTAAGACATCTCTGCATCCAATGTGTTAACCAATTCCAAAACCTCTGGTGTACTAACAAACCAAACAAACCAGGAAAGCAGTGCCAGCGATATCAAAATATGAAGCCAAAAATGTCTGCATGAAAGGGCACAGAATGCCACAGTTGTTGAATATGTCTAATCTCTCAAGTGTTCCTTTTATGAACCAAGTCTGAACCAGCATATATTACTCCAGATTTACTCGGATGGTACCAGAAGATTCAATGCCTTGCAACCAGAATTCGGAAGCAACTTAAGAGTTGTGAGTGACAGTATATATAGACCTGAAATTATAAGTATTAAACTGATCCTTTCAAGTTTCAAGTGGTTCACCAAACACAAGCAATGTAGCCATCAACAGATTTGATGTGACAATATCCAACTACATTCACATGAATTTAAGAGAAACTTCTTTGGGTACAATCTAATTGAGCATCTAGTGACTATCTTAACATTGGTTCAAGTTAAATTGTGATAAATTAAGTACAATAAAGAAAGCATGGAAATACACTCGAAAACTACCAATTCCAATACAAATCTAGGGTCTTTACCCAAGAAAACACATAAAATCTAACCCCTAATCCAATTCCAAACATACTGAATTTAGTTGCTACTATCACTATTGTTGTTGTTGTTGTTATTATTATTACTACTATTATTAATTTTACTATGATGATTACTAGAATTCCAGATTCCACCACCTCTTCTCCCATGCTTCAACTGTGAAATCTCCATCTGGGTCTTTATGAAAAACTGCATCCTCTGCAACTCCAGCTCCTTCGCAAATTCCATCCTCTGCTTCTCCATCTCCACCACCTGTTGCAGCTTCGCACTCTCCGCGTGCTCATACGCTTCCCCAAACCTCAATATGGCCTGGGTCAATTCCCTAACTGAATTCCCCCATTTTCTTCCTTTCCCCCCTGAATTGATACCCTTGTGAACCACAGTCCTCGCCCTCTTCCCCGTTGGAGGTGGCGGTAAACTATCCAACGAATCCGCTTCTTCCTCCTCCTCCTCATCATCCTCCTCCTCCTCGGAATCCATATCCACCGGACCCCGTTTCCTAAGCTGCATCTTATTCTGATTCTTTAATACAACCGTCCTAGGTTGCTTTTGCTGTTGTTGTTGTCTTTCCTGAACCTGAGAAACTCTAAATGAATTCAAACTGGACCGGATCCCAACTGGAATCGCCATGGGTACTTTAGACAACAAGCCAGCACTTCCACCACTACCACCACCCACGGCCGCAGCATTAACAGATATCTTCGCCGTGGATTTCGCCGTGGGTCCTATAAGTTGATCCAATTTCTCAAAAAAGACCCACTTACTCGGCCCACCTCCAGCTGCAATCTTAGCTTTCTCTAACTTATACTTCTTCTTGACCGTATCGATTCGATTCTTACACTGAATATCCGTTTTCGGAGTTTTTGTATAGTCCTCTCTGCCACTCACGATATCCGCCACTTCTTTCCAATGCTTCTGCTTTAAGTTCCCACGGCTCAGCTCCAAATACCGCTCCCCCCACGCGTCGATTAAAACCGCTGTACCGCCTTCGCTCCAGCAGTCTTCTCTTCCGCCTCCACCGCCGCCAATGTTCTTCGGCTGTTGCGGCGGTGGAAGAGCCAGCGTAAGCGTGTTTTCATGTTGTAGCGGCTCTTCTGGAGGTGGTGGATCGGAAGGAGGCCCGGCGGCTACCGTTACGGTTATACGACCGTTGGACGTCGGCGACGGTGACGACGCAGATGGAGATCCGGTTCCTGCAGCGGACGGGTGCGATTGGATCTCTTCGTCTTCCTCCATGGAGATCCAAAAAATTCGATAATTTGAAAAAAAAAAAAAAAACGAAGGGTTTCAACGGAGAGGGAATTAGGGTATTTTTGTTTATGGTTTTTGGTTCCTTTGCTTTTTATTACCGGTTGACGGGAGGGAAAGTGGGGGGCGAGGGGGGTAATGACGGCGTCGGTGAAAGATGTATAGACGAGGAGACACGTGGAGAACAGATGGTGAGGTGGAAGGATTTGATTGGGGAAATGTGGGATCCCGTCACCGGTGTGAACGGGTTGCCGGCTTAGTTGTTGAAACGTCCTGTTTTATCTGATTATTTAAAATTGTAAATTGACGGAAAACGCCATCGTATTGTGTTGAATTATCGATTGTACACTTGTCTTTCCAGTCGTGAACCTAAATTACCCTTTTGTACACAAATTACTAGTAGCTAATATCTACTCTTTTGTTGGTCAATTCCAAATTCAACATCTCTCATCTTTCTTTTAAAGTACAAAAAATTCGTGCATTTCCTTTTACCTTCGTACAAATCACAGTTTTGTTTAAAGTTTTTATTCAGAATTTTAAAATATTTCAATATTTTTATTTGAAATGATATAATTATTCAATTAATCATTACTTGGTTAGACTAAATTTAATTAACGTTTATTAACATGAATGCTGTAATTATAATCATATAGTTTTAAAATTACATAAATATTTTAATTAGCTTAATTAGGGATTAAATATCTTTGGTTATCAGAGATAGCTGGCATTTACGTGATATTATAATGTAAAAAATGAAATGCACGTGAAGTAATGACTTGAAATAAATATATATGACATTAAAAATTAAAAAAAATAAAATACAACAAAACAAAACAAATTTCATTTTAACTTTTTCCCCTCTCCCACGGAACTCTTCATGCAAACCATTTGTGGTACAGTACATGTTATGTACACCCACTTATACCAAAGGTTTGATTTCATTATATCAATGTGATATATATATCGATCAATTACTTGCTAGTAGTAAAACATTATTTATCAGCTTGCCTAGCTGGAGATGCAAAGATCAGGACCAATTGTTCTAAATGAATTGAAAGTAACTAAACTATATATGAACTGAAATTAAATTTAATAATTTAAAATATGATATAATGATATAATTTTAAATTTTAAAAAAATTATAAATAAATTTAAAAAAATAAAAAAGTAAATATTATATTTACATATTAATACAAATTATAATATATAATTTTTATATATAAAATAATATAAATATAATATTTTACATCATATAATAACATAAGTTATCAAATCTATTTAAAACAATGACAGTTTGGCCTGTCAATTGGGCGTAGGAAAAGCAGAACAGAGGATAAGTTGTTTTTCGGGTCGATTGTATGGTTAAATTTTGTGTGAAAAATGCCTGTACAAATTGGATCTACTCTTCTGGGGTTATATACTTTATATTGCACGATGAGACAGCTTATCTATCAGTTCTGCATAAAAACAAATGAGGGAACTTATAAGTCCAAAAGTCTCACTAATCTGACCCACGTTTAGATTTATCTCATAGCCAGCTAGTGGAGAGGAGGAGGACTGGTGGCAGTGACTGGTTCAGTTTTTTCCTGTCCCCACTTTCCCAATTCAGGCAATAGCAGAGTGGGAAAGAGACTAGACATAAAAGGAAAAGTATGCAGTTAATGATGAGTTAAAATGCTCAAAATGAAAACAAACTTAGGAAAGTAGGCAGCAAAAGCCAATAATGTAAAGTAAAGTTTTTCAGGCTGCAAATTAAGAAGTTTCATTAGAAGAGGATTCAGATGTACACAGATCTATATGTACATAACAAAGCCAAGACCAAAAAAAAAAAAAAAAAAACAGAAAATCATATTTACAAAAACTTGAAAGGGAGAAAAAATTCTCTAAGCTAGAACAAGAAAGATTTATGCACAAAACAGCTCTCCTACGTCTGTCTTTCCTCTCTAGGAAACTCCAAGAAACAGTGATGCTTTCTCGATCGGTTGCGATCCTTCATTCAATCACCCAATCTATCTTAATGTTGTAACCAACTTATTAGCAATATATATATATATATATATATGTGCATAAGATATATAATGAAATTTCCACCAAAGTTGCTCTATATGTACAAAAGCTTCTTCAGTATACTGATTCTTCAAAAGAAAAATCGTCAATTTCCTCTCTCAACGATCCAAAGCACTTATCACAATCCTACAATATCAACACAAATTACAAAACATAGTTAAATACGTACCAATATTTTAGTGTTTGCATTTCTCATCAAAACTTTTAGTTATTTCCTTTGCATTTCTCAATTAGTCTTAGGGAAGATGTTGTCAAATTAAGTGAAAGGCTCAAGTCAAGCATAGGTATGTAGCTCTCTCTTTGATAATATTTGGGTCTATTAGAAAATCATTGACTAATTTTTTACTAAGAAAATACTTTTAAGTCAAGATTCACCTAATTTCAAGCCATGTTCCAAGTTTTTCTTTATAATCTTTATTTGAATGATCATAGTAGTTCAAGGGTGAGATCAATTTTTGCAGGGATGGAGGAAAAGAGAGAGAACCAATCGTAAACAGTCGGACTTCTAGACTCAGCGGATTCAAGTGCTTCAGCTGACGATTTTCTTCTCGTGCATCTCCTGAAATCCCCACGCGGTGTCCCCGCTGCAACCATTAACACAAGTACCAATTAAGATCTGGCCATTTCAAGCCCATTTTAATCAAAGAACCAAAACAACCTTTTGTTCCTATACAAAAGTAGAAAATAACAAAGAAAACCAGATAATTAAATGACCACCACGAAAATGAACTTACGTGACAAAGGTGTCCCAGGAGTGCTAGACCCAGAAGGAGAACCTGGAGTCGAACCCGGCTCCACGGATTGGTTTCTAAAATCAGAGTTACTCTTAAGAATCGTAATGCTCCTAGTTATCATCTTAGCATCAACAACATGAGGAGCAGGCGATGATCTTGTGGCTGTAAACGAATCATACTTTCGTAGTTTTCCGAGGCCGGTTTCCGGCATAGGCCCGGCAAGCGTTTCGTCCCAAAGTTTGTGTAGGAACCCCATGGTCGATATGAACCAACTCTTCTCTATAACGTAACACCCGCTAAAAAGCCGCAAACAAACAACCAAAAGATTACTAATTAATTATTTGATGTATAATCAATAGTTCTTTTGTGACCCGGCCGAGAACGACTGTTACTAAGAGAGGGGAAGGAACGAAACGGAAAAGGGAAGATCTGGCGAGGTGGTGGGGATATGTTGAAAGAGTTTTTTTTTTTTTCCTCAGAGAAATGATGGGTTAGGGTTTTTATAGAGGAAGGGTTGAGAAGAGAGAAGTTGATGGCTAAATTTGGGGTGCATGGCTCCGGCTAATATGGCTCCATTTGGAGCCATCAAACAAAACAAACATGGTTAAATTGGGATAAAGTCTAAAACTTAGTCTTAAGAATGAAGTGTTCAAATCAACAACTAATATATTAGTAAATGATTAACAAGAGATTAATAAAATGGTTAAATGGGTAAGTTTATTCATCTTGATAATTTTGATTGTTATCATTGGATTTTAATTCTTTAACACTAATCTTAAATGTAAGATTATTATATGATAAATAGTCATATCTTGTCATAGTATAATAATAATTTATATTTAATTTTAGATTATTTTCATAAAAAAATATTGATAGTACATGAGAAATTAATGATCATTGCAAATAAATTTAAATATTTGAATTCTTTAATTCATCAAATTCTATAGATATGAGTAGTAATTGATTTAGAATTTTTTTTATATCCACTTACAATATATAAAAATATGTTGATAGATTTATTAATTTTATCAATGAAAATATATTTAAAATTTTTTTTTAATGTTCAAAAAAAAATTTTCATTTAATTTTTTTTATTTTTCAATTTTTTAAGGTACACTTGGACACTTCATATTTACATATGATCCACCAATGCATATGAGTAAGATGTTAATTTGTTTTAAGAATTTTAATATATTGTTTTTGTTTAAACCTGAGACTTCAACCAATAATTTAATAATTTTGTCATCACTTTCATCTACTAAAAGTATAACATTTTGAATTTAAAATTTATTTTAATTTATTCATATAATTATTTTAAAAAATATTTAATAATTTTAAATTTAATACTTATATATATATTTATTTTTAATAAGTTACGATTTTTTTTTTAAATATAGCATCCTAACAATTCTTGTTAAAATTAGAACTGAATGAAATTGATTGTGGAATAAACAAGCAAACCCAATTAATAATCCCAAAAATGTAAAATCGAAATGGCCAGTCAAAATTTTTTAGCAAAAAATTAAGCCGACAGGAGAAACATGAAGTGAGCCTCAAAGCTGAACCCCCAAAAGAATAGGAACAGGAATAGGAAAAGGAATGAGAGGCATTTGCTAAAAAGTGGGAGTCATTTGGACTTGGTCAAGTAGGTGGGGGAACATATGGCTCCCACTTTGATAGATTTAATTAAAATTTAATTACACGTCAATGGGATAAGATTGAAGCAAATCTAGATCCACCAATACTGGATATTGAGTAGGACTGTAGGACACCTCTTTTTTTTTCTATCTGTCTCGTGGCAAAGGATTGTGCATCAAAAACCAGATTAATATTTATATTAATTTCTAGGTTTAGTAACATTAGTTAGTAGGTTTTAACTTTGCTTTTGGTTTAACTAATATAATAATTTATGTAAAAAATAAAATATAATTTTTTTATTTTATTAAAATTTTTTATAATTTTTTAAAAAATTTTATATAATATTATTTTTATGTCTTTTATTTACATCATTTTCATATCGTATCACCGTATTAAATTTTATATTATCAAATCTAATTAAAATATAAACTTATATTGAATGTATTATTAATATATAAAATTTATATATTATCAATTAATCAAATAAAATGATTTCATTAACAAAATAAATCAAATGATATCATCAAATGAATTTTTTACAAAATATTAATTTTTTGTAAATTTATTTTAAAAATTAATATTTATTTATTAATAAAAAGATATCATTTGATTTACTTATAACACATCAAATATAAACTTTAAAAATATTATCTTTTGGGAGCTTGCAACAATTTTCAAAATTCTCTTTCTTTTTGTCAAAATTCAAGCAAGGAACCAATGGATCATATTATACCTTAGTTTTGTCTAAATGTTCAAAGAATTAAAAAGACCCCATTGTTTGGAAAATGACTGTTTTTTTTTTTATTAACTAGAACCGAATGTTAGGTCATCCATCATCCATTATGATTAGAAATTCTCACTTTCTTAAATCATTTCCCAAGTAAACATATGCTATATATAGTTACATGGAGTATTATAAAATATTTGTTTGGCAAAACTATTAATTAGTACTAAATTTTAGTGGGAATTGAAGAAAAAGTACAAACAACTTTGTAAAAGTTGTTATCAGTACTTAAAATTGTGAATTGTCTGTTAAAAAAAAAAAAATCATTGTAAATTGTGATTGAACTGTGACAATAAATTTTGGTTTGATTCTTGAATTCATTGGGTGTCAACTTATCATCAGAAATGGTCCCCTTTGCAATTTCAATAATTGCTCAAAAATTTATGTCAGATCCCAGCAAACGGTCACCCAAACACTTTCCTTCTTCAATAAGAGGATGTGAATTTTATTCTTATCTAATAAAAAATTTAATATTTTATTTGAATGAAGATAAAAATAGATATTACATTATAAATATAAAAATAAAACAAATTAAATTTTAAATTTTTATTAAGTATAGAAATAAAGGTGATAATATAATACTCATTCTTTATTTATATTTTACATAAATATTTATATATTTTAATAAAAAAAATTTATTAAATACTATAATAATTATTTTTAATTAATTAAAATTAATATACTTTTATTAAATATATATTTATAAAAGACTACTTAAATATACAATATAAAAATTAAAAAACTAAAAAACTAATTTTTTATTTTTTATTATAGATATGGGGATTACTCGTATTTATTAAATACTCATAAGAATGTAGATAAAAATAAATTTAAAAAACTCATTAAAAATGAATACAGAGATGAATATATTATTAAATTTCAGAGATAAAAAATACTTTATCCTCCTTATACCCTATCCATTTACATTCTTAACAACGATTTACCATATGGGAAATAAGCACACTAATGTTTAATTCATAGACTTATATAAATTTGCTTGAAATTGTCTACAATATAATTTAATGTGGTAAGCTTTGATGATAGTAATGGTTATCACTTACATCATCTTGTTTTTATTTCTTTTTGTTTTCTTTTCCTTTTAGTTACTCTTTTATTTAAAAAAATCAAGATTTTATATATTTTTCTTCTTATGTTTTTTTTTTTTTTTAAATGATTCAAAGAATTGGGTTTTGCATGATAGTAAGAATTAACTCTCTTTCAATATTCTTTTAATTTACTCCTATTCATAATCTCAAGATTTGAAAATTAAAATCTAATCTACTTTCCTTGCTAAAAGACAATATGAATGTGTTGTTGGATCTCTAGCAATTAAAAACATTTGTTTTAACGATGTAACTATTGCAATAAAAACAATATTTGGAATGTTCAGAATTATGTACTAACTGACTTTCATTATACAACCATAATGTAGTTGAAGGAAAATTGTTGCTAATGTTCTTGCAAGAATGTGAAGACAATCCCTTTCCTGTTGACTAGTGGTTGTATTTTTTTCAAAGGGTCTTTGCACATGACAAAAATGACATATACTTTGAGTAGAAATTTGTGACCTGTTAGCCCCTTCACATAAATTTAGGGAGATAAATTATTAATAAGAGAATGTATACATTTGCTACTTATTTATTTTATTTTTTATACAAAAAAGTCATTATTCAAGGATAAAAATATTATTTTTTAAAATTAATTGTATGAACTAATTAAATTATATTTTGGATTCTATTATTTGTTTAGTCTAAAAGTAACTTTGGTACAAATAAGTATTTTCCTTTTCTCATTTTTATTACTGAGCTATAAATAGGTATAAGTCTACCAATTAATCAGGCAAAAAGATTGGCCAAAAGAAAAAATGGGGCAAAAGGAGTGAACTTTAAAGATCCTACTTAGATAGACCTAATAATTTAAAATATAATATAATGATATGATATAAATATGATATAAAAATAAGATATGACGGTAACATAATTTAAAATTGTAACAATAATTATATATGGGTTGAACAAAATATAAAAATTATATTTCATATTATTATGTCAATATAAATTATAATACGTAATTTTATATAAAATATAATATAAATATATAAAATTTAATATTTTATATAATATAAATACATGAAATACCAGCTCTATATCTAAATTGCTATGTAAAATATTCCGTACTTGAGCATGGGACATAAATTTGTTGCCCCAACTCCCAGATAAGAGCTTGGGCAGTTGAAGTAGGCACGCAGCATGCCCCTGACAGATTAGGCTTAACTTGGTTCATTGGCTGGTGACCTCCTTGAAAGCCCAGTTTTCACCCACAGGACACAAAAGAAAATGACAGTCGTTAACCCATTTTGTATTTTGAATGTAAATCCAATTTGCCCATTTAGGTCCATTACTCTCCTTCATTCACGGGGGCGCTATACGTTTTCAGTTAGGACCTTCCCCGGATGTTGCCTGTATGAAAGAAGAAAGATTTTTTTGGTGAGAATGAATTTGATAATATTAAAAATAATAATAAAGTTTGTTATAATTATAATTAAAAAAATTATTATAAATTTAATTAATAAATTTTATAAAAAAATTTATATTGAATAAATTTCATTAAAATTAATATTTAAATTCAATTGATGATACGATGAGTTTAATTATATCATATTGAAAATGTGATGAAATTTAATTCTGTTTTGAAAAAAATAATAATGAAATTAAAGCTTGAGTCATTTCGTAAGGGAACCAAACCTCTGCATGAAAAACAGGGTATCCAAACTACCAATGTCTCTTTTTTCACAAGTGGGAAACATGTCGACAATGATAAAACTAAATCCAAACCATCTGCTTGGAGAATGATTTTTCTGGAATTAACCAGATTTTCTACTAGTATTATTCTATTTCAACTTGCTCCTTACCAGCTTTATCTTTAAATGCTCAACTTGTTGGCCCTAATAATCAAAGGTTAACATCATGTGCACCCCCCCCCCCAAAAAAAAAAAAAAACTTAACATTAACTTGTACTTTGTTTAAACTTTTGTTGTTTCCCAACTATTCCTCAATTTGTCCACTTTGCCAAATTTTACAGCAACTAGCTCCCATCATTATCATAACTTTCTCCAATGGCCAATAATGCTACAATATTTTAGCTTGAAATTTGTTGCTTGGTAGGGCTACTTTGGCAAAACCATTAGCACAAGAACATAGGTTAGATACCCTATACATAGCATACGTCTTAATCTTTGCAACAAGAACTATTGCTTTTGTATATTGGAATTTGGATGAGGGTTTCATTCAATGATTACATACTAAAAATGGTTTCAATTGATTAAGGTGTCATATATGAAATGGAAATGTTTGGCAAATTAATATAAAAATTGATGTATTTTTTTGTCGTTTTCTTGAACTTTTTAAAATAATTTAATAATACAAAAAATATATTTAACGTAACGTGCTTCTTGAAATAATAAATAAATTATAATAATAATCATTCACAAAACATAAAATCTAATTCGATGATGTCAAAATAGTATTAAAGTAATACTCAACAATCATGAATATTAATATTGAATCTAATTTTATTGATTCTTGAAATTAACATTAAAAAATGTCACTCATCATAAAATTTAATCATGATACGTCTAATTTTTTATCCTTAAATTATGATTTCTTTTGTTAAAAAAAAAAAGCAATTGACCATGTGAGTTCTATAGTATTTTCTATTAAATCATGAAACAATTTTTTAGGTCTGAATTTGTTAGAACCACCATTTTGATTCTACACCTTCTTTACAATTATAATATATCTATAAAGAATTTATAGTTTACCACCATATCACTCAAAGCAATATATGGATTCACATATGCTATAGAAAAAAATTAATTTACTTGGTAAATATCTAAAAAAAAAGTGGTTAGATATTGGGTTCTTGAAAATCCTCCATACAAAGCATGTTTTCAGAAGATAATAATGTCCTTTGCAAGACACTCGATTAGGTCAAGATTCAAGTCTGGCTAGTTGGTAGTAAAGCATTTCAAAATGCACCGCCTGACCCAAAATCAATCTGATCCCTATCATACAAATCTCTACAACTGAATGACAGAAACCTATTGGATCATAAAAAGAAAATACTTAACAAAAAGTCTCAACCATTCTTCAATGTTAGATATGATGATTGATGAACATTCAACTTATTGCCCCCCACAACATTTTTCACGTTAAAATGGAATCAAACAGCCCCTTGAATTGAGACCAGCAATTTTTTTTTTGTTCCCTTGGTTTGAAAATTTTAAAATAATATGTAGTGCTAATCAGACAGAAACCATGCTATTTGCCCAAGTTGTATGGCAGTTGGAAAGTGATGGAAAATGTGGAGAAAAGTAGAACCTTGGGACTCGGCATGGAGTTTTTTTTGGCAACTTGCAAGGTTGGTTTCTGGTTTGGGGCCCATGACTTCCTTTTCCTTCATCAAACCAAAATGTGGTGCGGGAGAATTGAGGTCGGGTTAAAAGTCGTGCGGTGTATGCCTTGAAGTTGGATATAATCATTAACCACTGCATTTGACAAAACTTTTTCTAGGTCCAAAACCCACATGAAGTTGGACCCAGCCAAATTGCCACTTCACTTTGGACACCAAACAGCAAACAGGAAAGATTTTGACACATTCTCGGCTGACCATTCCAGTTGCAGCTGCAAGAACTGCCCTGTTTCCAGTTTCCTTGTTTGCTATTTCTAATTTACAAGAAAAAGCATAAAAAAGAAAAAAGGTTTGAAAGTTTTCTATCCCGCACCCCAAAATTTCGTCCTTGATTGAAACAGTTTTAATACCACAAACATGGAGCATGATTTCATTTTTCTTTCCATTTTTTTGTTGTGCTGGAATTAGAGTATGTATCTTATTGGCGAAATATGCTGGCATATAGTAATAATTTAGCTTAGGCTAAAAGGGAAGCCCATAGATTAGCAATATAGAGTACTAAGAGAGAGCATAACAAAGCTATAGATGAAAATACATTGAAAATTTAACATGCTTACCACAGCTACAGTGGTAAACCATGGCAGACCATGACAACAAAGGTGAAACTGTAATTGCTGCCTCGTTTCTTCGCGATGCTAAAATAAAATATCCAAATTAATCTTCTTGTGATAGTTTGGCCTCCCTTGTGGTGGTGATTTTGTACCTTTGGCACTGTCCATGGCCATCAAAATCTCACCCACAGGCTCCATCTTGGCCCCAGGATGCACCGTCGTCTCCCTAATTGGTCAAGTCAATATGGTAAGTTGGCCAAAATGGTAAGGTTGAATTTGCATTAATCAATTAGTAAACTGGTGAATGATGAAGCAGATATGCCAGAGTCCTTGGAAGAAACATCATGGCCAGATGAAACCTTTTGTTTCCTGCCACTTCTCCGCCTACTACTACCGCCGGCCATTCCTAGCATTCCTCCTCTGGCTTCTCTCTGTTGCTTGATATCTTGGTTGTGTCTCACCTGTCTTCAAAACATCGATCAGAAACAATAGCATCCATGAGAATTTTACATCATTTACTTGAAAGAATAGTGGGGGAAAAAATGGCAGAGCATACTTTAGATTGCATATGTTAATACTGTAAACCATTAATAGAGTGCTAAACCTTTAGTTCTACTGATCAGTACAATTTCAAGTATTTAAAAAAAAAAAAAAACAACAAAATACAAACATTTACCATCTTTCTCCACACCTCATACGCCTAGTCCACTGTTTGCTTCCTCAATGGTAATGTTATTTTATGACACATGCCTCGACACAAAAGTTTGACAAAGATTAACCAGAAGACTGGGCTAGATGTTAGAACTTTTAAATACCAATCTAAAGCTCAAAATGGAGAACTAAAGCTATGTAATGTGTTTCTATGTACCAAATCACACAACATATCCTGCTTATGAATAGAAAACACAATATACTCAAGCACAGAATAGATTACATCTGTATTCTGTTTATTTCTCATGCATTAACAAACTGCACGTTTTGTAAACTAAATTAATTCCAACATATTTTGAACCAAAAATTAGTAAGATTAATTATGCTAATTCACAGATTTAAACGAATATAGTTGGATAATATGCAAGAAAGTATAGCACTTACCCCCAGACAGAAACCGTGAAATTGTACATTGAAGTTATAAGTACTCTCCACCCTCATCGCCCCAGAGCTCATATCAGAGGAATTCCGCTTGTTGGAGCCAGAACTTTCACCATGAGGCGCAAACGAAGATGAAGCAGAACAGGACATAGTGGACTGACCACTAGACCCAAATGAATCAAAGTCTGATTGGAACATTTCTTCAAACAATTCCTGTAATTCCTCAAGGCTTTCCTCTCCAGTTTCCTATTAGTTCAAAATTACAAAATCTTTGTCAAAAAATACTATTACAATCCTCAATATTTAACAAGTTCCTAAAAAAATTTGATCAATTCCTTGGTGTTACAGCCCTAGGCATTTTGAAATAACCAAGTTTGATCAAACTTTAAATTGTATTATCCCATGAATCTGCAATCTTTTACCTTCATCATTGTCATATTTTGTTTCTCCAAGATTAAGATTTCTCACTAAGCTTTAGCCAAAGCATCAAATCACTATTATAAACTTTTCATTATGTCATGGGGTGAGCATTACCACTCTAAACATTGAAATCTCTAGGACCATCAAATAGCACCTAGTGGCATCATTACTTTAAATATGCAATGGAATGATTATTATTTGTAAATTCCCTCTCATATGAATCCGATATCCGACACCTGAAACACATGATAAAAAGAATGCTTGGAACATACAAATATAATTAATCAAGTCCACTTTCCAAGGGTACACCAAGTCTTTCTTTCAAGTGTCCTTCCCGTAGGAAAGAGCAGGGAAGGGAGACCATTGGCTAATCCCTAAAATGGGCCAAACTACAACAGATTTTATGGGATTCCAACCAGACAAACGATCATATCAAGTGTCAGCCATAAAAAGCAAAAAAAAAAAAAAAGGGCCTACACTGAAAAAGTCACTTTTATTTTGGACTCGTGACCTCTAACTGGCCCATTGGCGGTCTATTTTGTCAAACTAAAACTGAAGCAACGCCATAAATAAAGGTTAAAACAGCTAATACCTAGGATTATCCAAAAGCAACCCTAACCCTATGACATGCACTACAGTTTGTTTAGTTTACTCAAAATGAGACTGAAATTGGATAAGAAAAACAATGGAATCCAAATGACAGAAGCTTACACTAGATTTTGTATGGCTCATCATCTCTGCCATTTCGTTCAAAAAATCTCCCATGCCCTGCAAATAACCATTCAAAAAGGAAATAATTTTGTCTTCAAGTTTGCTTTGATTAACCTTAATCTCATCTACTTAAATCATGGGAAGGGATTAAAAGGAAAGTAAAAGGGAAAGTAAAAAGGACTTTCAGAGCAGAAAAAGAAAAATACATTTTCGTCATCATCACTGTCGTAAGCTCCTACGTCGTACAGGAACCTCTTGTTTGCGTCAGACAGAACTGTCATGCCAGAAAAAGAAGTGAGTGAAAGAAAAGCAGCATCTCGTGAATGGTCAATCCAATAATTCCCACCCACCCAAAAAAAAAAAAAATCAACTTTATACCCCAAAATAAAGAAAAAAAAATAAAATCAACTTTATGCCATAAGGTTATAGAAATTTACCAGAATAGGCTTGTTGAATAGCCTGGAATTTCTTTTTGGCTTCTTCCACAAACTTTGAATTTCCTGAAGCTGAGCAACGATCAGGGTGCCATCTCTGTCTCATGAAACAAAAAATAACTTGTTTTTAGTACAACAAATCTTCAAGTTCAAATTTTCCCAGGAAAAATTCCAACCTATTTTTTCTTTTCTTACCCTGCTATGGAAATGGAAATTAAATCAATTTTCCTTCTTCATTAACCAATATATCTCTTTTCCCTGCTTTCTTATGGAAAAGCCATTATTTCAATACCGGAATAAATCCCAGATAAGAGTTTTAACTCAATTATGAAATCCAGGTTCAAAATGCATAAGTATACATTAAGTCCACAACAGAAACAATTCAAATAAAATGCCATGATCTTTCAAAAGCTTTTTTTTTTTTTTTTTCTTAATTTTAAGTAAACCAAGTTGATTGAATTGTGGGATAAAAAGGGAAAACAAGAATTAAAAAAAAAGATGGTTCAAAGTTTAAGGATGGCTAAAATTCTAACCAGGGCAAGTTTCTTATAAGCAGTCCTGAGCTCTGTTGGAGTGCATTCCTTATTCAACCCCAAAACTGCATAAAAATCATTGTTTTTCTCTCCTCTATTTGCCATTCTTCAAAACCAAAGCCAACAACACTAAGCTCAAAAACAAAAGTCCTTGTCTAGTCGACAAATTATAACCAAACCAACAAAACTTAAAACCAGGAACCAAGGAAAAAAAATACCTTGAAACCAAGCCAAACCCACCTATAATATAAACTTCAAAACAAGACTAACATGAATTAGGACACATTTTTATGGAGCTTCAACACGGAATCCTTAGCATATGTTTCCGTGAAGGGAAACGTTGAAGAGAAAAATAAAGGGTAAAAAAAAAAAGAAAAACAGAGAGAAAAAGAAAAGGAAAGAGTCCCCCTTCCTCTGCCAACAACGCCAAGGCCTAAGATCTCTCCAGAAACCGGTCCATTTATTTAAGTTTTTATGGTTTGTTTGTTTCTTGTACTATTTATTTATTTATTCAATTTTTAAGCTAAATTATTCTTCTAATGTATATAGATAAATAAACATTATAATACAAGGAATAAAAATAAGTGTGTTTCATACGTATGGGGTAGGGTGGGATTGGGGGGGTGATAGATAAGGTTGATGGACGGTGGGGATTGGATGAAGGGAGTAGATATTTTGCAGATTTATGTATCCAGAAGGTTTAGTTTCTAAAGGCAACGTTTTTTATAATCAAAATCATTAAAGTTTAAATTTAGATTATTAGCTAATAGAAATTAGCCAAAGTGATTAAAATTTTATAAAATAAAATAACTTCCCTTATTCTTAATTTTTTTTGACAAAAAAATATTTTTTATTATTAAAATTAAATATTTATTATTACAGTTATTGACTTTCTGCGACAACCTTGTATAGGAGACGAATCATAAAATACAACTCAAGTGACAGAATAAAATGTCATCGGAATTGAGATTTGAAAGAAAAAAAAATCTCTTGATTCATGATACCTTTCAACGAGAGATCAAAGTTGGACCAACTTGAGCCTAGTTGAAGCGGTAATAAAATGTGTTGTATTATTTTGAGATACACTATTTGTACAACACTTTGATACCCAACTGGCTAAATTTTAGGTTTAATTAACATTATCTCTTAAAGTTTCTTGAAAATTTTCCTTATTATTAATTGGTGTTGTCATTTGTTATGAGGTAGGCCTCCTAATGGGCCAAGGAATTGATTATGTCAAGTCAAGTTAGTAATTTATCAAGCCTACTCCTTACCAATTTTATTTTTGGTTCAGTTGAACAAAAAAAAAAAAGGTTCAAATTTGGCTTTTAAAATGATGCAAAAGTCACCCCTGTTGTTTCTGCAATTTGCTATATGTATTTTGACGGAAAATTTTTTTTGGGTATGTCACGGCTTACACACAAGTCTTAACTTAAATGAATCGCGTGACAGAATGCACAATGTCTGAAAAATATTGACTTAAGCATATTGAACAATAAATTTTGAAATTATACTATTAATAAAGATAAGCTTCCGACTCGTGACACATGCACGTAAGGGCGCACCACTTCCTAAGATTCTGAAACATTTGAGGACTCCGACCGTTTTGCTTTTTATATTAAGTATATATTAATATTGAGCATTGGATAAATTTGGCACTGAGGAAAGAGAAAAAGAGAGAAAGTTGATTGATCTGACAAGCAGCGAAGCCAAGAGAGGACTGTGGTCGAAACACCTAAAAAGGAAAGAGATTTAGGTGTTTCAAATGCCCACGTGATTTTGGATTGGAAGGTGCTGGAAATCACGTGCCTTTGCTTAATTTGTACTGCAACATTGTAGGAGACATAGCCAACATCACCTTATTATTATTCTTTTTTCCCTTGCAATTTGCAAGTTGCTTGGAGGAGATTTCAGAAAAGCAAAGATTTTTTTTTTTGTGTTGTTGTCCCTTGAATATGGCAAAATATTAGTCAGTGAGAGGCCTTGTCTCTAGTTTTACCCATGGTTCATGAAATTGTACCATTTGATCATGCCATTAAACATTATGATAATTTTATAAGCATGGAACTTATAAAATATTGTTACTAGGGTTTTATGATCAAATCATTAACACAAAAAAATCCTAGTTTAAAAATAAAAAGTACAAGTATTAAAATAAAAATTTTAAATATTATTTTAAAATTATAATTACATGGATGAATTGACCTAAATCTAAAATTCAACTCCACTTTGATCAGTTATGCAATAGTTTATACGAGAAGAATTTTTTAGTAACCATATATATAAAATGGGATTTATATACAAATTTTGTGTTCCTAGAGATTTGAAAAGGTGCATGAACTTCAACTAAGTTTTATATTGGATGGATCAAGAGCTCTATAGTGTCTCTCCAACATTGAATTTGGATCACTTTTCTTTCAACTATGGTTACCAATGGCTAACTATCCACTCTTTCCTCTCACATCATCCAATTAGAACATGTTTACCCAAGCAAAATATGCTTGAAATATGCTTTCCTAATTAGCAAACGTTTTTCTTTTCAATTATTGTATAGTATTAATATTTTAATTTTAACGATTAAATTTTTTATTTTTTAATTCTCCAAGCAAAAAGATCCAAAATTTTTTTTTTTTGATGAGACAAATCATTTTGTTTTAAATAGACCAATACTATATTGTATATCGAGACAAAAAACTTGGGAAAAAAAAAGGAAAAATAATGAGAAAAAATAAGGAGACAAGGGCGACGCTCCCAAAAATGGAAAGACAAAACTGGCAATATTTTAAGGCTAGTAGCCTGCACCAGACAACACAACGTTTGGTGGTGAAGTAGTGCTTCTTGTATACTTAAAATTTGATTTTAATCAAATTAATCAATTGAATCATTAATTGATTGGTAATCGAATTAATAGAATTTGCATGTGTTACATTTGGAAGATATTTTCCACGTCATTCCTTCCCAATTGTCTTTGTATGTCTGATCCACAACAGCTTTTAAGACATGTCACATACACAGAATGGATCTGGAATGGATTGGAAAGGCAACTAGCTTAGCATAGCAAAGCAAATGGGCGAGTGGGGTGGAGGGAAGGGATGGGAGGCAGTGGAGGGAAGCAAAGCATAACACTAGAGGGCTTGCTAGTTGCCAGGCTCTCCAGCAGGATCCATCCTTTTTTCGCAACATTACACAATCTTCTATGAAGGGCTGTTAAATGACCCAATCAAGGACTGCAATTTGTTAAAAAATTATTTTATATATATATTAATTTTAAATATCACTTTAATTAGTGTCTAATGACATTAATATTTTTCATAAAATTATTAATTATTGTATTTAACATAAAATTATTATTATAAATAATATATTAATTAATTTTAAAAATACTTTAAAAACATTTGTTAGCAAGCAAAACTCAGATCACTTTTTTTTTTCAAAAATTTATACTGCAATTGAGTTTCTTGAATATTTTTAAATAAGTATATGAGATTCCATCAGAAATTAGTTTAATAGATAATAACAACAATTCATATAGGCTTGGCCTAACAGTATCCGGAAAAACAATTTTACCAATTTGTTGTTTGATTTCTTAAATACGCTAGTATTAGTAATGCATTTGGGATTGCCAAAGGAAGAATGAATGAAATGAAATGACTCACATGTATATACCTGAAAGCAGTACTTGAAGATGATTTTTAATTGTACGGACGAGTGAGTGTGGGTGGCTGGAAGTCTGGAATCCAGCTAGTGAAAGGGTCCTACAGTCCACAAACTTGGGCAAGTTTTGTTTTTATGACTTCAAATTGCTAGAAAAGGAAGGGAAAATCAAAAGAACAAAAGAAGCAACAAAAGTGAAAAGCCCACCCATACCCATTTGCAAGGTGCACTTCGAAAGCGATGAACTAACTGTCAAATAGTTGTAAACAAAGTTGGCATGTATTAGCTGATCATAGAGACAAGCCAAACCATGTTGGCTTACAAAATTATCTTTTATATATATATACACTATCGTAATGATTTTTGACCCGTTCGACGAATTTAAAAAATAAAATAAAAATCAAAATTATCATTAATTTTTTTATTAAGTGTAATTGATTACTTATTAAAATTTATTATTTTAATAATATTTTAAAATTAATTAAAATTTATTAAACAAATAATTTTATGGTTTGCGAATAGTTTGAATTCGAGAGTTGGTTATATATAAAGAAAGATTAGCACCCCCACAACATCCGTTTAAAAGCGGTATCACTTAACTAAGTGTTATCCTTTGATTTTGATAAAAAACAGTCTCATTTTCGATGTTTAAAAATAATTTTTTTGATTTTTTCATTTATTGAAAATTGGTTTTTTTAACTATATTAAAAAGTTTATTGTTCAAATTTTATTCTAGAAAAATAAATTAGAACATTTTTATTGAAATAATTTTTAAAATATTTTGGTCCGTTGGTAACATCGAAAGAACTCTTTTTCACATAGAGATTTTTTTAGGCATCGTTTCTCGGAAATACCTTAGAATCTCATTTTCGGAGGTTCAAATTTATTTTTTTACAAAAAACTATGCCATGCATACAAATGATAATATGTTAATGCACACATTTTATTTTTTATTTAAAAATTTTATTAATTTTAATTAATTTTTTATCATTATTTTCATTTAAAAAATGAAAAAAGAGAAATTTTTATTATATTGAAATTTTTTATAAATATTTCAACATACTGACAATATTTTAAAAAAATCTTCTCATCTAGAGATTTTCTTAAAGCATCTCTACTCGGAATACTTTTAGAATTCTATTATAGGATAAAATTTCTTTTTTTTCTCATTTTTCTATTACTTTTGTATTATTTTATAAGATTTATTTTTAAAAAATAATATTATCACAAATTTTTACTATATATTTCATTATTTATTCTTATTTATTAATATTATAAAATAACAAAAATTTATTCTAGCAAATTTAAACATTTTAATATGCATAAATATTAATAATAAAATTTAAAATAATAAAAATAATATTTTAAAAAATAAAAAAATTCAAAAAAAAATCACCTGAACCGGACAGGGAGGTTCGACGGTCTGGTCGAGTTTAGCGGTTCGGGACTGGTCCGGCTCGGTCTGAATCGGTTCAGTGATTTGGAGCTGATCCGGCTTGGTCTGGTTTGATTCAGCTGGATCGGTTAGAGGCTAAATGGAAGTGGGCCATTGGGTCGGGTCACCGGCTAACGCGCGGATCTTCGGCTTAAAACGACGTCATTCTAACCCTTTAATGAAACAATATCGTTTTGGCTTTTAGCTTTCTATAAAAATAAAAAAAAATTTTCTCTCATTTTCGCTTCTGCCTCTCTCTCTACACTCTTAGACCCCTTTTCTCTAAACCGTCAGTCGATCACCGTCCGTTGTTTCGGTCGCCATCGGTGGTCACCCGCCAATCGTAAAAAATACTCAAAAAACACCAAAACGTTTCTTTCAACCCCCTCTCACCGGATTTGACCTCTTTTTCATTAAAAATAG